ATGTCAATCAATCAAGAGATATAAACAGAGCACAGCTTGACTTCGGCCACATAAGTAGACCTTTGTCTTCAATTAGCAGTAATTTTTTACCCATTTCAAGAAAATACTATCAATCAACTCTGGATACAATGTTCAGCACCACCAGTAGGGCAAGCTCATTTGATAAAGATTTAGCGTCAAAGGATGGTGAAAAAGATAAACAAGAGCGACCGGAACGACGATATATTTGAATCGACCTATGACAGCTATAAAATTTACACGACAACCAAATGTGGCCATAACATGATCACAATTCCTTATCCAACCTTTATTATTTCCAATAACTAAAATTTTTCAAGCTATTAACACGCAACAAGTTATAGCATAACGATTTCTTACTGATCTCATTTAATGAAACTTACAGATCCTTCCACCTCGATGTTAAGTTTTGACAAGCATATTAAACTGTTTACAAAAGTATCTTGAATGTTTCTTGAATATATCATTTTGTGAGAGTACTCTATCCTTTACATAATGAGTTCAAGTACTTCTAATGTGCAAACCTTGTCCATAACAAGAACTTGCTTATTTTGTCTCAAAAAACTCTTAGATATTTCTCTAAAAACGTCTACGTACATTTCAATGTTTGTACAAGCGCTTTCTAACGTCTCAGAAATTCGTTAACATGCTGATAGTTAATTTGTATTGAGATAATCATATTTTAATACTTGTCCCACGTCATGTCCATACTGAAATGGTTCAAATAAATCATCAATTACTTGATAACAACATCATCATTAACCACAAAATTTCTATATGGAAATCCATCTGAAGCTATTTGTATTATATTCAGACCTTAGCATTGAATTGGCTGAAAAGCTCTAGCTTTACATCTCTCATTCGCTATTTTCATGTTGGTAAATTGTCTGAAGCTTTCTTGTTTATGAATCAAAGCTTAATAAGCAATCATCATGCATTTGTTATTTTCTGAGAGTGGTGCTGAAAACAAAAGGTTGAACTCTTAGTCTGGTAAAAGATTTAATCCATTACATGGACATGGGCAAACTGCATTGCAATTTGTTGCCAAGAAAAATAACCCAGTCCATGACAAGTAACAAGCTAAATTTTAACCCGGGAATGTCACGTTTGTGTGAATGCATATCCGATTAACCATTTCAATGTCATTGGAAGAATAAATTTTTCAAGCTTACGATTTTTTGAAGCAAATGAGTCAACAAAACTACCTAGCCAGACTTGGTAAAACAGTATAAAAGACCGATATTTTTATTAGGATAGTATTAGTTTAAAATTGACTTTTACTTGTGACTTGTCAGTAATTTTCGTTCATTGTGTTCAATCGAGATAAGTTGAAATGAAATCTATGAAACTTTTTACTATTATCTTCTTCACTGCTCTTATTGTCTCTTTTAGTGTTGTTTCGGCTCATATAGTTTACGATGAAAACGGTAATGCTTACTTTAAGAAATGCGCTGGGTATGCGGCGGGGCCTGTTGTGACTTATCCGCCTAGTGGTGGACTCTTGTAAACGGAACACAGCAGAATACTCTTCATAACTGGAGAAATTCCTATTTATTAATGTTGAAAATGAATACGCGTTTGATCTGAATAAATTTTATGTAAGCCATGCTAACTCGATGACTCGATACACTTATTTCATTTCAACTCGAACCTCTATTTTCTCACCTCGGATAATCTTCTTTACTTTCCAGCATTGAATACAATAATAGACAGTTAAGAAGCAAAAATTCATGCTTCAATGATTATTTAAAAATGAAACTTATATTTATTCGGTTAAAATGGATCGTTCAAATCGATTTATTTTCTTAATTGGGACAAAAATTGCTTAGCGACATTGCCAAGATAGCAAATGTAAACTATTGAAATCGTTGAACGTCAATTTATTCACACGTACGATAAATTGAACTGCATTTAAATACTCGATTTTTTAATGAATTTTTCATTCCAATCATCAAGTTATCCAGCACAAGATATTCAAGTTTAGAGTCACAAGAAATGCATGTACAAGTTTTTGATTTGCTCAGACTCATGATTATTCGTGCATTATTAATAGTCACAATAGTTAATGCTTCGAAAGTGCTCATCTAATTTTGATGATTAAAAAATTGTTTTCCCTCAAACCATTTTCATAATTACATCTGCATAGCTTTTATGAATAACTCTGATGCTTTAATTTTCAAGTCTACCTTTTCTGGCAACTTAAGGTAAAAGAGAGTCCAAAATCACTTGGGAAACGTATGCAAATGAATGTTATCATTTCGAAGTAACCTTTTTATGTTGAACAGAGAATGATAAGACATTTTGATATTAAAGAAGAATAATCTATGAAATTCGAAAATAATCTGAAAAGGCCATTTTCTATCATCTATGCGTTCATTCTTTATAATCGATCTTAGCTTAGTTTCAAATGAATTTCTAATAAATTTTGATAACGACAAATGAATGCTGGGTATTTTTGTGAAATGATAATGCTATAAATGTCAACTTTTGTTCCAGAATCTTGGTTGTGGTGCAAGATATAGATTTTATCATTATTACGTTGTCAAGTTAAGTAAAATCTTCGAGAAAATGAGTGCATAAGATTATTCAGACATGGGTTCATATCCTTAAATGATTATTGTTACACAATAGTGGAATTGAGTTTTCCAATAGCGAGCTCATCTTTTTATTATTAATAATATCATACACAAATGCACTTGAAGCACTCGCTATTGCAAAGGTTGCCTGAAAAAACTTTTTACATTTAGTATATTCTTCTGATACACACACATCAAAATCATAATCGTTTATTGGTGATGTTATGGTTTGATAAAAGCTTGTACTTTTTGATCATAAAGTCAAATAATTTCAAAAGAGTAACGTTTTGAGCTTTTGTAGCTCTTTCATCAGATAGCTATGTAAATGCTTACATTAATTTATTCATGAATAGCTGTAATTTCCAAAGATTTCATCAGATTTAAGCTTGATTCAAGCATCATAAATGATGAAAGGACGAACTAAAAAATTGAGTGACATCCATGTACTACTATTTTATTGATATTACTTACTTCATTTCGCACTCCCACTCCATGCTTATTTTGTTTCAGCCATCTAATCCTATTTCACCTTGAAACCATATCTTTATTTCAAAATATTATAACTTTCGACTGTTAAAAATAGCTTCTGCACCGAAATATTCATTACTTTGTTCCAACTATAATAAAAAGAACATTTTTTTCCTCATTTTGACTTTAATCCTGATTAGTTGCAAGTTTGTGCAGCAAGAAAACACAAAAAAAACAATTTACTTGAAATTTTCAACCAACTATGGATCAAAAATCCAGGCAAAAATCCAGGCAAACCCTAACATTTGGTCAGTTCAATGATTTCGCTTTTCATCCAATTCTAAAGATTCTTCTAATCAGTTTCATCAAGTATAGCACAAAAATCATTTAATGCACCAAAGCTAATCAAACTTTTCCTTGTCTTCAGACCGAAAAGAAAAATATCTTCTAACATTTAGAAATTAATATGGAGACAGAATTTTTCTTCTTTAAAAAGTAATGATTTCCCAGATTCAACTTTGCATCAATCAAATTCTGTGCAATTAGTTTTTTTTTCTTTTGCTTCTTTTTCGATGCAGACTGATTAATTGCATAAAGGTTAAAGCATCAATTGAAAAAGAGAATCAAGATATTGATCATGGATTCCATTTTTCTTTTCATTTCTCACCTAATTCCTTTGGAATCACTCAAGTACAACTCATCATGATTCGTTTTCTTTTATGCTCATTTTACTCTCCTCTCATCTTACCTGATACCTCAGGGAAATCTAAACATTTGTCAAAACTCTTGTGGAACTTTTCACTTCTCATTTTTCTCTCTTTTCATTGACTTATCAAGTTTTACCTTCTCGTGTACATCAACTTGACCTTTACATGAAGACCTGGTGTTTATCTTGATGTTCATCGCAAACACATGATGCTTGTTGACAATCACTCTGAATGCAAATGATACAACTCGAAGTATGTAACTACTGGAATGAACACGAGTTATTAACTGTTCAATCACCTGTTTCTTTCATTGCAATGTTAATATATTTCCATGCATTTCTGACCTGAACTAAGATGATGTAAGATGATGTAAGGATAGCAAGTAAAGTGGTAAACATTGAACTGAGCTGTATTGTACTTTGACTTGCTCAAAGCTACAATGAATGGAAATGCATGCAATTTGAGCCTAATTGAAGAGGTGGAGGAAAAAATGAAATATTATCTATTGCATAATAAATTGGCAAGAAAATTATTCATTCATTATTGAATAAATTTGCATCCATTTTCTCTTACTTTTCTTGTCTCTTCCAAAACAAATAAACTGGTAAAGAAAGGAAAAGGTAATCCAGATTAATTTAGAGTTTGAAAGGAAAATGAATTGAAATGATACATTGTGAAACAATGAAACTGATTCAATGGATGTTTCAATTGGAGAAAAAACTTTGATTTCAAAAGAGAAATTTTATGCAAAATTTTTCAAGAAACTTGAAAAATGGCAAACAAAAAGTTCATTTTATATTCTCTATTCTCTATTCTCAATCATCATAAATCATTATCATTACATTAATAAATTTACAGAACAAATAGAAAGGATTCAACAAAATGAATTGATTCACGAAAGTTCACGTTTCCATAAAAGTTATCGATTGATTGGCTAAAAATCTGAATATAAACAGTTTTTGACGCTTCATTTTCATCAAGAATTTTCTTTAATTTTCAAATTCCATTTCGGAGCATTAGAGTCTTCTTTCGCAACAAAATTTTTGGACATCAAATATCTTTCTGGTTGCAATATGTGACGACTGTCAAAAGTCTAGAATCGAGCAACAAGTTTCTGTTTTATTGCTCCAATAATATCAATCAGTTGAAAGATGTTCAATGAAACACTAAATTGCTTTTGATGCTAAAAAGTGATAATTTTTAATTCTCTTTTTTTTACTTTTTTCTACAGGATTTCCGAGACCAGAAATAGCATGGGAACAAAATGGACAGAAACTTGATAAAACGAAATATTTTATTTTTGATGATTTTGTAGAAAGTACAGTTTTTCTTGACAATCTTGATGAAAAGAGCCTGTTTAATTTGATAACATGTAAAGCCACAAACACTAATTTAACTGTTCCATTGAGCAAATCATTTCGGCTTGACTTGAATTGTAAGTATTGGCGTAAAGTTTCCTCACTTAAACAGCCAACTGAATAAACTTAAGGTGATGGGAAACCTGGCAAGACTCGAAGTGTTGTGGTGTGAAAAAATTTAAGGCAAAAACATGTCAATCAAGCTATTTATATCTTGCAAATTTTGTCTATTTATTAACAGTGAAACCTAAAGAACTCGAGCTTACTAAACCTGAAAACTTAATTGCCAATGTTACCATAGAGTTAACCTGTTCATGTAAAGGTTCAAGGCCTGGAGCATTGATTAGATGGTATAAAGATGAAGGGTTAATAAATTCATCTGAAACATTTTTCCACTCAAACCATGTAAATATGGGCTCAACAACAACAACTGTGAGCATTCTTCAACTGAAACCATCGATAGCAGATAATGGTAAAAGGTTGAGTTGTTCAGCAATTAATCCAAAATTAAGAGAAACATTGATCGAGGAAGGATTCCATCTCAATGTTCAATGTAAGTTTATCGTTCTTTTCATTATAAACTGCAAAACCGGAATCTTTTATTCTTAGAGTCGAATGACCTGTTGAATAATTTTTAGCAAATCAAGTCTAACCTCGAACTCGAATATTTCTGTGCTCAAAATAGTAATCGCAAAGGATGCGCATAACAAGAGAAATCGAAAGTTTACTTTTCATCAAACAGCAACTATTGCTTTAAGTTGAATTTTTAAACTCATGTCAACTGACCTTATTCAGTCTGAGAAGATTGCTATTTTTATAGCAGAATATCAAATTTCAAGAATTTCCTCAGAAGTCGATGGTCGTTACAATGTTTCAATTTGAAGCCTCATTTCAGTAATGTGCACCTATTTCAAATCGTTTGCATATGCAAATGCCATGCTGATGCACAAAAGTCAAGATTGATTAATGCAAGTGTTTCTCATGTTGGTCTCAATCTTATTTGAATAAACATTGATGATATCGAGATGCGATTAATGAAATATATAAATATTAGTCTTGGTAAATCTCATTTTTTCTCGCTTCTTTTCCCAATCTTTTTATCTCTTCACATTCGTTCAGTTCGAGTTGCATTTTTTATTCATCTCATCATAACATTCAACTTTATTTAATGCGATATAAGTTTACTGTTATTTACTCCTTTATCTAAATATTCGGTCTTCATCTTGAAGATGTATCAATAATATTATCCAATGTCCAATGTTGATAATCGCCTTATTTTCCTTTTCTCTTTTCATCTTTTTTTCTTGCAAAGCTTGTATCATTATTATCATCTTGCCCTTTATCTTTTTGTTTTTTCTTCATCTCTTTTCTCATTTGTTGAGCTTATTTCTGCTGAAATATCCTTTTTATACATTTTTACTCCGCGGCGCATCCAAGCCGTATTCTGGCTTTTGTGTTTTTCCTTTTGATTTTCCACCCTGTCTTGGTTGTTATGTTTTTCCTTTATAACATCGTGTTAACAAATACTGCCCAAAGGTTTAGCCAGATGGACTCATTAAATTCCAGAATTGCTGGAAACAACTTGTTACAATCTCTAAATCTCTTTAATCATATTAGATTTTAGTAAAGCATTTAGCTTTGTTAGCGAAGTGAATGAATTACTGACTGAACAAAAATGAATTACTGCTAATTATGATATTTGATAACAGTTTAGTTATTATACGGACACAGAAAACACCGAAAAATCACAGAAAAGACAACTATCTTTATTTAATTTTGCTTCATAGAATCAACGTTTTCTTTGCTAAGGATGAGGAATAAAAAAGTGTTTTACCAATGTAGTTTAACATTCTTAATCTAGTTATTTTATCAGAATCAAGATTCCACACTTAAGGCTATTTTTGATCCGAATTGTCGCTCTATCCAATAGCTAAACAAAAGACCATTAGAATCAATTACAGGGATACTCATCAGAATGATAATCGAATGTTATCAAAACCTTTGGATATAGAATTTAGCCCTGCACAGGATGAATAGGTTTTCCTTGTAGTTCACGAATATTGAGTTGTCCACAAGTAGCACAGGTAACTCAACAGAACAAAGATAGCACTTTCACTTTCCTTATTTACTCTCAATATCTTATTTTAGACTTACCTGCAATATTTTTTTAGTAGACTCCGATAAATATCATCGATGGTCTAATCTTTTCAACATTTCCACGGACTATTTAACTTAATTAGAAACAAGATCATGGACAATCAGAGGTCAATAACTGAATGACCTTGAATGTCATTGAGACTCTAGATTCGTGGATTCACTGAACTTGTGGCTCTTCAATCCATGCAAGCTTTTGGCTCAAATCTGAGGTCTGTAGCAGCAACCGTTATGCCTGCAAACAGGCGTAAAATGAAAAAAACGCCCGGTACAAATCTAAAGAAATAGAAACAATTCTCATTCGCTCAGCTAACTAGATTTAGGAAATCTCCTGTAATATTGATCAATAAATAATTTAGAATCAGGAACTTTCATTAAAATGAAATGCTCAATTAAAGATTTGTAAAGTACTCCTTCAACTCGTCTATAGAATAAATCAATCATGACTTGGGAAATATTTTAAGACGATTGGCTTTGCTATCGATTCCATTGTCAAAATTAAATGATGATTCAAATTATCCATAAATTTTCATTCCCTGTATTCTCTTGTTCATTTCCCTTTCTCTGTTCTAGATAAACCAATAGTGAACCTTGTTCTCGGATCCCAAAATAAAGACATACGAGAAGGTAGCCTTATACTCTTTGAATGCAATACTCAGGTAAGTTTGAAGAAACAAAGAAAATCAATTGAAAAATCAAGTGGAAATGTTAATCATTTGTTTTTAAAATTTTCTTATTAAATCAGACATATTTGAAATGAAAGAATGAGAAAATGAAAAGTCAAAGAAAAAATTGATTCATTTCAATGCAACATTGAAACTAGAAAAAGAAATCAAATGAAAACAAGTTTGAAATTGTCCAATTAAATGGTCCTTTGAGGTCAACCAATTGGTCAAATTGTTGCATTAACTCATAATGAGTGTTTACATTTCATGAATAATTCATGGATTAAAAAATGAGAGAAAAAAAAAGACATTGAATCGAGACTCATGAGGAGAGTTTAATCAACATTATTTACAAAGATCATGATGTTATAAATCACAAGTTGGACGAAACATTTCATTTTCATCTCAATTAAGAGCACAATTAAAGTTGAACCAGATGTGAAAACAACTGACCAGTCTTTATGTCTCACTTCACCAATGAGTTAAACAGGTTCACCTTGCCTCATTAAACTGGCCATTGTGCATAATAATCAGTAAAGCTCATAAATCATTTTCATTCAACTTTCCTCTTCTCATTAGCATTAATCACACACACAAAATGTTGAGTTTAAATATTAATAATTGATTGTTCCAAGTAAAAACTTCCAAATTGTTTATCAAAGTTAATAAACCACAAAACATATGCTTGGAATGGTTCATGGTTCAATCGTAAGAATCAATGGAAAAGTTCAGGTTGAATCTAGATTTCCAGATTTTCTTTTTTTTCAGTCAAAGATTGATTTTCTTTTTCTCATCACAAATTGATTGAATGTTGCTTGATCAAGATTAACCTGAGTTTTGACTGTGCCATTGGAGTGACCATGCAACATGAAATATCTCTAGTTTAACGTATTAAGAAGCAAAAAACTTGTTCCATTGTTTATTCAGTTTCTTTTTTTTCTTTTATTGAGTTTATCTTTTCTATTTGCTTGCTACCATTCACTCATGTACAACCTTTAAATGAACATTCTTGCATCTTTCAACTCTTATTACCATGGAAAAAGTAGAGTTAGTTAATGTTAACAAGATTGAAAGGAAAAGGAAGAGAAAAATTTGATAAAAACAATGATAAAGTTAACAGCATTTCATGAGTTTAGCTGTAAACGTATAAAAACTTTTCTCACTTTTTGTTTTACTTCTCGTCTGGTTTGTGTTTAGCCTTGCACCAGTACTATTGATTGATTGGTAAACGAGGTAAAAAGGGTTTTGCTCCAATAAAACTTGACCATTTCCTCAATCATATTGTTTCAATTGAACATCTTTTTTTATTTGTTCATTTTCATGATTTACTCGCAAGAAAAACAAAGGCAACAGTAAAAGAGTATTCATCATGTTCAATCTCATGTTGTTTGCTATACTCAACAGACCAAACATCCTATCACATAAAAGAAACTTTTTTTCTATCCTTTTCTATCAAAGTTTCATTCGAATCTGATTTTTTCACGCAACTTTTTTTCTCTTGTTATTGAAATTAGCCAAAAACTTGCATGTGATAAACGAATCGGTAAAACTTCGTTTCAGGGAGAATGAGTTTAAAGATAAGTTTCAATCTCAACAAAGGTCGAAGTTGCGATGAAACAGTGAACAAATTTTTTCCACTTACAGTGACTCAATCATGTTAGTAATGATTGATCGATAATGTAAGGTGAAAAGATGAAACATTTATTAAATTAGCTCAACAAATCAACACTCAATTCGTTGCTTTCTGACTTTTGTTCACTTTTCCAGTTGAAATCAACACTTGTCTTGGCAGTTTCAAGAGTAAATCAAAAAGTTCAGAAACTTTTTACTGTCAAAAGTTGACTCAACCTAAAGGTTCGATGAAGTAATTTTGCTTTTCTTGTGTTTGAATCCGAATATTATAAACTTAGGCCAATCCGGCTTCCAATGAAATTGGATGGATATTCAATGGAGCCACGTTGAACACTCGGAAAATGGATGGAATCTTAGTCACTCCAAACACATTACTAATTGAAAATGTAACTCGTCATCATCGAGGTCATTACAGCTGTTCAGCATCAAACACAATTGGTACAACTTCCAGTGAACCATTATTTTTAGATGTGCTTTGTAAGTTTGTTATTCATCATCACTTCTTTTGTTTTCTGACAAACACTTTTCCTCTCAAAATAAACTTTAACACCTCATTGAATATTGATTAATTGACTCAATCTAATGTGTACATGGAAGCAAAAGCAACGAGTCTCTACAATTTAATAGAAATGCTTTCATCGATTTACATGTAAATTCAATTCAATTACATGAGAAAAAAAGAAGAAAAAGAAGAAGAGCAAAAAATTCTTTACTTTCTCCATTAACCTTTGTATTGAGGTTTTGGATGAAATGAGATTCAATACTCGATCCAATTGTTGTAATCAAAATAAACCAGAACTTTTAAGATGCAAAATTTTCAATTTAAACTCTGGCTAATCCAATTGACTGTCAATTCAATCAAAACATTTTTCACTTGTTAAGTGACAAGAATAAGAGAAGAAAATTGCAACAACAAATGGTTCCTTTGAGGTGCCAATTTGCTTAAATTTAAGAGAAATTTTTATTCTAAACATCATCATGATGGATAATCATGAGAAACTTTTTCAGCCATTTCTATATTGGCTACCTTCAGGGTAAAAAAAATTTCCATTGCATTCTTTGGGCTCAACTGAAATTTAGCATGATAAATCAGATTTAGCCTCGTTCGGAATCAGATAATTCCTCAAGATAGAAGATCTGCTCAATTACTAAAAATTAGTGAAAAAGTTCACAGGATTATACAGGATTGTGTTACTTTGTTTCAATTTTATTCAAGTTAATCTTGAGAGTTGTTTAATGCTCACTTCAGATTGAAACAGTTGAGTTGAAATGGAAATGAGAAAAAATAGAAAAGAGTTTTTGATTTATTCCGTATTTACATTGTATAAACATTTTGATTGAATAGTTTTTCAATAGAAACAATTACTTATCTCGCCATGAATTTTATACTAAATGTCATTCTCAATTGATATCAATGTATTTCTTTCAGTCTATTATCTTTTATTCATTCCAATTGCACATTACCGTTTCTCCATCATTTTCATGATGAAAATTTTCACTCTTACTCTTTCTTTTTGCCTCTAAATATAAATCAAACCTGGCCCCTGTTACGCTTGCACAAATGATGAAACCAGATAAACCATTTTGCAAATGGATTGAAAGCAAATACCTCGGGACCACTTTGTATAAAAATGTTGATTTAGAGTGTCAAGTTATATCACATCCAGGTAACATTGAGTTTCAATGGATATTACAGAGAAATGATGGAACCACAATAAATTTAACACCAAATTACACAATTGAGACAAGTAAAAGCACCACATCATCATCTTCAACAACAGCACCTCTGGAAACGATCACAAGCAGGTTAACTTTTTTCACGTCAACTGGGAGTGACTTTGGTTCTATCTATTGTAAAGCAAACAACGAAATAGGATGGCAAGAAGATCCTTGCATTTTTTACATTTATCCTGAAGGTAAGTTGCACCATCAAGTAAACTTGCACTTTTCTCGATCAGCTTTGATTCAAATTTTCATGATAATTTATTATTTTATCAATCAGAGAATGCTCAACGAATTTTATTTAACGCTGTATCAAAATACAATTATTTCGTTTACAAAAGGAGTAGAAAGATTACCTGGATCATTTTGATAACTCATTGTTGAAATGGTTATTAGACTCACTAGTACTATGAGGCAATTGATTCAGTATTTGTTTGTCTAGAATTGCTTTTCATATGCAATCATATCTTCACCTCCTGATGATACTGATATCTTTGATCAAGCATTGAATTATTGAATGATTCAATTTTTTAAACTTTGAACTTGAACCAACCTTATTGATTGGTTTTGACCATTTGATACTTTATGACACAGTTTTAACCAATTAAAAGTATAGTTTTTTCCATAGGCAAAATAACCTTGAAATTAGAACAAAAATTGAAGCAAAAATTTGTACGCTCTAATACTTTACCAGACATGTTTTTGCCCTCATTTCTATCGAATTATCATAAAAATTTCGTATTCCGACTGTACCACTTGTTACCTTCCCTGTTAGAAAATGGTACAAATAGAACTTCAACTGTCAAGCACTTTGTTATCCAAGGGATTCTCCGGCAATCAATTTACCTAATAATTAATAGATTCTTGGAACGAAATCAGACAATTTTAGAATCAATAATAGGTAGGCCAATTTCAGTATTGAAATACAAAAAAGTTTAAAAAAAATTGACAAATTAGTGGCGAATGAGCCTCGAATTTCTAATCGAAGAGCTGCAGCTAAACTTGAAAGTTTTGGAAAAACTTTGCGTAGTGAGAAATTAAAATTGGGTTATAAAACTCATAAACAAAAAGTTTGTTCAAAATACGTAAGCTATGAACAAGATGTAACAAAGGGCAAGAAAAATTTATTAGAGATTGTTACGTGGAAGGGTTATCGTTATGGGTGACGAAACTTACGTTCCCGTTGACGTAAACGATATTCCTAAAGTTAATAATTTCTCAACAAAGATCTTAATAATACTGATAAGATAATTTAACCCGCAAAATGTTTTTCGAAAAGTTTGTTGTTTGGCAGGCTATCGATAGTTCAGGAAATGTTTCGAAACCTTACATAACTAAAGGATCAATTACAGGGGAAGTTTATAAAAAAATTCTCAAGGAATCTAATTCCATGAATCAAAATAAAACTGTTAAAATTAATTTGCATCAACTAGTTGCATTTTTCTTGACCACTTTCGATTCAATTATTTGATGGAAATATGCTCAAACAATTTCATTGTATCTTTGTATTAAAAAAACAGATAGTTCATTAGCAAATGTTTACAAAGACTACTTACACGGGAACTCCAGAGCATCTAAAACTTGACCCAATCTTATTGATAAACAAATGTTAAACATTATACGCAATGAAAATACTGTCTCTCCTTTACATTGTGCCACGCTTGATAAAATAAGATAACTTGATATCAATATTTCAAATTCAATTTATTTGATTGGCATGAAGTAATACAAAGAGCTTCCTCATCGGAAGTAAGAAGGACTGTCTGGGACTGTACCATTGGCGAAGCTACAAATATTTTGTCGAGGTGCATATTGCGAGCATGCTAAGTCAGGTTTACATGGACAAGCGTCTGTATATTTGTTTTCTTTATTGGCTTTTGTAGTGCAAAAGTTTCCAGGGTCTCCCAATGGCTGGCAACTTAATTGTCTGCTTCTTAATACCATTCCTAATAAAGATTTTTCATTAGTTTGAGATCAGACAATGGTTATTGTATTCAAAAATTTATAAATCCATAGAAAAGCTTCACGCTTTTAAAAATTCATGAATTTTCAATCAATGAATCTTCTGTTGTAACACGATGATTATTGTTGAAAAGAGTCACAAAAAGTGCAAAAAGTTATAAATTCGAAATAGGCATCTGCAAAGATATCCAAAGTTTTTGACAAAATTCTCATCACAATCATCATCTTTGAATAAAACATGAGCACAATAAACTCGCATTGATAGGTGATATCAACATTGAAACAGATACAGAAGTTTCGTCACGATAGATGGACATGAGGTTAGACTTGAATCAAGTGAAGTAAAAATAAAGATGATACTTACGGTTGACGCAACAGTATCCTTCTTTACAATCAGCGACACGATAGCACGGCCTACCCCGTTCGAAGTCTCTTTCAGGGCCAATCGTTACCATCAAGATACTCTGCAAGAAAATTAACAAGCATTAAAGTGTGTTTTGTTTATGAGAAAACAACAATTTTGTGTGGAAGCGTTTTCATGTCACAATAGTAACTTCAAAGCTTTTATAAGGGAATTGGAAGGAAAAATTTTATGCTTACATTGAAGCTGCAAAGCAAGAAAAAACAGATTAGCACTATTTTCATTTTGTTATACCAATGAAACACGAACAATAAAATGGCTTTACTTAACGAGAAGTCTGAAATGATGCTAGTTTTCGTCTTTTTATACTTTTGCATGATTCCATTCAGTTAAAAAGCAAACAAACACGTCAGTACTATTTAAACAGATTTGTTTTTTTGAAGGTCAACAACTTATGCTAGATACGTTTACATTACATGCATTGGATTATATCAAACGTCTGAAAAAGGTATCAATCTAAGGAAATGACCTTTAAATGTTAGTTGTAGTTAATTTTATGCATGCAGCACCTGTGCTGAACTCACATTCATTCCCTTGAAGCAACATTGTCTGAAGAATTCAATTATTCATTTATCGCTAGTGTTTGTTTTCACCTCTGCATTTTTGACTCATTTACTAGTTTACTCATTGGGATCATCAGGTGTGTAAAAATTTATTCACAATATCATTTTCATGATTTAATAGCAAAGAAAAAGTTTTGATTTCAAAAGAATTTTAAAAACACATTTATTGAAGCATTGATAGAAGTAAGGAAAAAACGAAAACAAAATTTCTTTACATTTTCGGAATTATTACACTCTGTGGTCATTGAAAAATTTCATTAATTTAAACTTGTCAATCAAACTGAATCATCGATCGAAGTAAAATTATCATTGAAATGTGTATTTTCCATTGAATAAGAATACTTGAGCCTCTGTCAAATCATCATTGGACAACCATTTACAGTGAGAAAATGAAATTAACCGTCAAACTGAAAATGAAAGGAAACCAAATAATAAACAAGAATAATGGACTTTTCAATATCTTGTGGTTAACCTGAAAATGATTATGAATGGAAAGAATGAAATGGACCAAGGAAAAGAGCAAAAGATCATCTTTAGAAGTCGATTGGAATATACAAGTGACTACAGATTCTCACAGCAAGGAATCAGATTCAACATGATGATTCAAGATTAAATGTAGCAACTGGATTCTCAGGAGATTGAAAGTGAACAACCTTTGTATGCAAGGCAATGGGAAGGCGAAAGGAAAGGAAAATTGAGAAGTATTAATGCAGGTTAGAAAAGATGGTTGAATCATTAAGTTCAATATCTACCGGTCAAGTTGTTGGCCAGATAATTTGAAAAGACTTTAATCAAGCTTGTTTATGCTTGGATATGAGGAAAACAAGAAACTCATGATGACGATCAGAAGTTATCAAAGCAAGAATAAAATAAAGGCTCCATAATCAATATTGTCATCGACCAAGTAAAGAAGGTAAAAAGTAATATAAATAATCATTTTCTTGTTTGACCAATCCAAGTTTATCAACTCTGTTTATGATTAAAACTTGAAACATGATGAAAGTTAATGGCTGAATAATGGGAATGAAAATGATTGTGGAAATACAAGTCAATGTAATCACGTTTTACATGGGAAACAATTATTTCTTTTCTTACTATTCAACCGTGTTTAACGTGAAAGAAACAATTCAATTTGAATTTGGCCAACATTTGTATTCAATGTTTAGTCCAATGTTGTCTAAGAAGATGAACTAACTATTGATTGGAATGAAAAATGTTGCTCATTGTTTTGAAAGTGCAGAAGAAAGTAGAAAATGAAAAGATGGAAAAATGTTGATTAATGAATTGGTCAGTCTAAATGACAGGTTAATCGAAGTAATGAGCTTTTTTACTCATACGTGGGGAAAGTTATTGCTGTAAGATAATGATAATCAAATGATCTTTAGCCATTAGGTCGTTAAGGTTGGCTTGATCAGGTCAATGTTTAGACTTTTTATTTATTCATTTTTACATTTTTGGTTTTCACTCAAATCAACTAATGCATTTTTTACGAGACAATTTTTTTCTTGTCAAATCTTTAAAGTGTTCTCATCTGATGCAAAGTAATTAACAGCATGAACTTGATTTCATTATGCTCTTGCATTTGGTGGTTCGAGGTTGACTAGACTTTCATAGGTTATTACTGGGTGACAATTGGAATGTGAAAATTTTAAATAGCATCGCTGTTTCTTTATTTCTCTTTTGTTCCGTACATACTATACATCATTTTGTAGCTGAATCCATGAAGTTTATGATTATGGTGATTGAGTTGACAGATATGAATTTTCCATCAAAATATTCGGGCTTAAAAATGGCAGGGTTATGAACTCGTTTTAGTACTGATTTAAACCTATGAAACCCGGATACTTCTGGTTCAGATTTGTTTTACTAAAGCATTTTTTGGTCGTTTTGTGCAAGAAAAACGCTTCAAACAGAGGTTTCTGTCACTTATTTGGTTTCTAGGGCAGTCATGCCGAATGAAGGGCTGAAATCGGGCTTTCTGCAAAAAGCCAATATGAAACTTTTTTAGGTATCTTGCGATGTTCTTTTTGTTGTAAATAACGATTTTAATCATAAATGTTGAGTATTTATCCGTTTTATACCATTGAAACAACAGAAAGCAAAATTTGACCAAAATTTTCATTTTATTTCTGCATTTTCTATTCAAACAAGATTTTTTCATGCGTTTTTTTAGATTGATCAAGCTTTTTCATTTCATATTCAGTAATTTTTCACCAATATGTTTTTGATTTTCGCAATAAATTTCGAAAAAATCGTGTTTTCGGTCAAAAGCTAAATCAGATATTTCAGTGAAATATTTGACTGAAATCAATCATCAGAATAGGTGAAAAAACCCTCAAAGATATTGTGCCAGGATAATTGAGAAAAGAATTGATTTCGTTGCGTTCCGACAAAAATAACAATATTTTACACATACCAATTGTCACCCTGTACAAGAGCTTGAAGTACTAAATGCAATGAATTATACAAGCATTAGATTTAACTGGGAAATCTATTGACCGATGAAAGTCTGTATAGTCTGGATAGAACTAGTTAGAGAATGTGAAAGTGACTAGTTTTTTCAAGGCGAGTGCTTTCAAAACAATCTTGAATGGCTTTGAATTTGGTGTTCTTCAACCTGCGAATGCTCACGGTTCGAATCTTAGGTCTCTAGCTTCAACCATCCGTAAGTTATGGCTGTAAAAATACGTAAAGGATGCAAAAGATCCGATAGTTTCAAACTAAATCTGAACCATTTGATGAACCAGATTCGACTAGCTAAATGTTGATTTAAAATTTAATTTTCCCAATTTAAGAAGCACGCTTTATATTCCATCTAAGTTGGTTACCATGTTTATTCAATTTCCATTTCAGGTCCTCCCGAGGCACCAACCAATTGTACGATGAGGCTGATTAACGTAGACACGCAGCTGATTCAATGTCAACCTAATTTTGATGGAGGATTGGATCAAATTTTCCACCTTGACATTTATAACCGTCTATCAGGTGATTTAATTCAAAATTTGTCTTCAAAGTCACCTTCATTTGAGCTTAAATCAAACATTTCTCGAGGTGATTACAATTTGGTAATTTACTCAGCAAATATTCTCGGTGAAAGTAGCAAAGTTGATTTACAAATATCTTCTCAGCCTATTCATGCTTGGCCAGGTGAGTAAACGAGCCACATTTGTCAACATCCTTATCCCGAAACAGCACAACAGTTACATTGTTTTCAATCAACTCTTATCACTAAGTTAATTCATTTTTCCCTCAACAGATTTTTTTGGCGAAGAACCTTCAACTGAATCTTTTTACAAAATATCGATAAGCTTTTTCTGTGCCTTGATCACTATTTTGGCTACAATTTTCATGGTCTTACGCTTCTGCTTATTCAAAGATAAAGGTGAGTTGCGAATAGCATTTACTTATTATCAATGCATTCTTAATATGAATAGTTTACAAACGGTCTTTCATTTATTCAACTTTCAAGAACTGAACATTTCTTTTGATTGAATAATCTTTAAGCAATAAATGTTGCTATTATTTCACTACTAATTCAAAAACAATGAGTAAACTGAATCAAATAAAATGATGAATTATTGCATTAACATTTAATGGTTGAATAAAGAGTAAAAAAGAAGAGCAAAAATATATTCTCGAATAGGGGCACATGATTAATGATTAAATTTTCATTCAGATAATTACATTTTGCATTCAATGCTTTCATCTAAGCGACAATTATCACCATGAAAAGAGTAAACTTACAGGTTAAAATTGCATCCACCTGAGATGGCAGTTAAAAAAGTGAGTTGATCAATATTAATGGTAATTTTGAGACACATTTTAATTTTTGGTTCTAATTTGCGAATTTGTAAAAGCCAAAATTAGACATAATCCAGCCGATTCACGATGAGATATTCAACTACAGATTACAACATAAGCATCGCCATCTTTTGAGAAAGGGTTCAACTTTGACTCGTCTTATTATCGTATAAACTAGATGCAAGAATACTGTATTTGACTCATTCAGAAACGAAAGTTTCCGTAGAGTAAGTTAGAGATGGCAACTTGATTAGTATTAGGCTGACGCGACATTAATTTTTCACGTAAAAGTAATCGAAGTAAATTGAATTTTTCCGGGTTCGTAAACAACATCAGGCTTCATACTGTCCTAAATCTGGATTTGGATCTGTATCATTGCAAACATGTTACATATCCAAAACAGAATTTTTAGTCTAGTTTATCATTTTCTTGATTTCTTACTTGATTATCCATGAACTTTTTTATCTCGATTCACTTTCGATTCTAATGTTAATAGGTTGAAAAGTGAACCTTTTACTTTGATCAGTTTAACTTGTGTTCTTGAGACTCTCAGCTATTATGACTATTAGTGCTTAAGTGAATAATCAAAGAAAGAAAAAAGTTTCACAATCAAATGAACCTTTTACCAAGTCTAAAAAAAGAAAAAATCTTTAGGCATTCTACAGGTGAGAACATTTCAAGAAACATTAGATTTAATGATTATCATTGCAAAACAAAAAACTCATGATAGAAAACAATAGAACTTAGATTTGTTGAACATGAAGAAATAAATCAAGTGTTAATTTTCTCATGATTCAGTGTCCAATATTGAGTTAATGGTTCCATCTGTTAATTGATGAAATTTTCTTTTTTTATTCTTCATTGATTTTCGACAGACAAAAGATGCTTCCCAACAACACCAAAGTCTGAGTAAGTAAATTGATTGAGGATAAGTTCCATTGTGACTATTGAATCTGTAAAGCTGCTAATCAACAAATCATTAATTTAATTTTCGAATCAACAGAAGCATTGGATTAGACGAGAATGGAATCAAGTCCAACTGTTTGACCAATGAAGAGCCAAACATGATTACAAGTGTTAAAAGTAATGTACAACTGAATTGATTTGTTTCATACAGAGAAATGAAAACACGATTAACATGCAATCTTTTTGTAAATTTTTTTACAGTTGAAGACTTTGAAGACGAACCATGCATGCATCAAAACTATAATTTATCAACTATGGAATTCAATGGTACTATCATGAATTTATCTGGAACTTTTGGTGAAATACAGCTTTACCATGAAAATGATGAAGTTGATGAGGAGGAAAAAAGTTATTCAAATTTGACCAGCCCAGATGATCCATTGAGAACGGCCATCATTTTCACAAAAAGACCAACTTGCATCATTGCATCAGTACAATATCCTGAAGACTATAGCATTGAAAATGGCATTGTTTCGTCCTATGATAGATGCAAAGATTTCGACAAAATTGAGCTCTAAATTAATGTATTCAAACAATTGTGAATGTAACGACCAAGCGCAATGTGAAAGAGATTTTGTAGCAATTTTTATTTTGATAACGCTTCAATTTTTTTATATGTAAAATTTTAAATCGATATCTTTATATTTGTCAATGAAAATTTTAACCAAAGCTCAGCAATTAAATCCGTTTTTAAATCAAATGTTTTATTTGCATACAAATTATGTTACATTGAATAGTCATACCAATATTGAATATTAAAAGTTACATGTGAACAGTGAAAAATAGGTGTGAGTCTCAGTTGTAAAAACCATTTATTCCATCTATCGACGCATGAGGAAAGCTGATCGAAAGGTGAAAACATATCTAAATGCATATTATTTTAACTCATTTAGATGCTGAATTCTTGATGATCTAATGTTGAAAATTATATGCGAACTCACCGGATGGTTAGGCAGCAATTGACAACGCTAGGCAACGTTCGAATGATGAATCTGGAGGAAAAGTTTCTTGTATAAGATCAAAATCGATAATATTATCTAGTAAAGAGAAATATCCTGATGTGAAAGGTGAATGAATGCATCAATCCCATTAAGCATGGATCTCCGCTAACAGTTACAATAAAAATAAATATTGTTTACTTGAGAACTTGCAAAATTGTTACAGTTGTTTGTCTTTCAAAAATTGAAATTCTTAAACCAAGATTTGCTCAAGTAAAACTAGCTTGAGTACCCTGGAGCAAACTCTTACGATCATAAATAAATGAGTTGCAGTCTGCACGCAGCGCATTCCTTTTCGTAAAAATTAAGTTTATGGATCCAAATGTAAATGATGATATGCGACGACTTCTAATTCAACTTTACATTCAATTCAATTAACAACACAATACGTATGGAATAATAAATATAGCATCTTCATTTGATAATCTTATTAATACAATAATCATCAATGGAAAAAGCTATCGACTGTTCCATTGGGATGGCTACATGTGGGACGTTGCCTTGCAAATACAACTTCAGATGATGGCTCCTTGCATGTGCCTTCGAGTTTGCAAGGACAAAAAAACTGATGATATGTATTTTCTGGTCGACATTCCGATCCAGGATCACCCTTGTTTACACATGCGTTTCCCCCTATAACTATAGAAAGATTCACAATTATTTTGAGATCAGACAATGGCGTTAATGAATTAGGATGGTCTATACAGTTTGTCAAAGATTTAATACATTTAAATCTAATACACCTAATACACTTTCTATTGTAAGATACTTATTGCTACAGAAGGCGTCAAGAGTCAAAGATTACAAGTTTAATAGGATGTATGTAGCAGCAAAATATTAAATATCACTACACTTAATGTCATAAAATTTCATTCGCAGTATAATCTCCAATCTGGAGCATATAAAACTAATACTTACCACCGGCGCAACACTGGTCCGGGTTACAATCTTGGTCTCTTTCGCACGTTTTACCAAGACCTACTGCCAGCAAGTTACACTGCAACATAAAAGGCAATTGTTAAACGAGGAAATCGTAGAAGCATATATGCAATTTTTTCGTGAGGTGAGGTGAGGTGAGAAACGAGAGAATGCATTGTGACAATGCATTGGTATGTCGAGCTTTCAACATCGTCTTGACAGACTTCTCTAATGGTTAATATAGAATATATTCCTCGTAATGAAAGCATAATAAAATTTCATACTTTAACTACGAAAATTCAGATATTACATACTTACAGTAACGATAGACAACAAGAAAAAACGAAGTACCAAACTTGCCATTATTTAGCAATAAAAACACTAAGAACTACTGATGAAATTTGTAAGAATAAAACGACTGATGCAAAACTAGAATTGTAACTGTTAAGAAAGGATGTCAGTTTTCGCCTTTAAATACTTCTCTTCCCAGTAATCGTAAAATTCAGTTAAAGAGCAAACAAACCTTGATAGAATTATTCATTGCTATTTAAACAGGTTTTTTTGTGAAAACACAACATTATGTGTTAAATATATGACTTTATCACTAGAAACTTTTTCGCTACTAGGCATAATATTATTCAGTTAATCTTGCTTATTTAACTTTCCTATGGCAGATTTTTTACATTAACTGGACAATAATTCTCATTCTTCGGATATCGGGTGAATTATTCGACATAAAAATACCAAAAAGTAAGTTTCAAAGGCTGCAATTAGGAAACCAATTTCACTCTTTGCCCTCTACTCAACTCAAGTTATGCAGCTAGCCTGTTGCTATTTATTTTGCTATTGTGCATCAAATTGATTCATTCAAATGAAACTTTATTAGGTTTTAACAAGTTGAATAATTAGTTTGCCTAATCGAAGCAAATACAAGTAATTTAACATAAAATAGAAAAAAAATAAGTATCTGCTGTTTAAATTCTGCGAGTCGTTTGCTATCACCTCATTTTTTGTAGAACTTCATGCATAGGAAGTAGGTAGATTAGAAATGCTAATTCGTCGAATAGTTACTTTAACTCACTTTTGAATTGATCAATCGATGTTATATTTAGTTAAATTAAACAATAAATGACAGCATTAGGTGTAAATGGCAGAGCATTATTTGAACACTTGTTTAGAGGAACTCAAATTTGAGCCAAGCATCAATTTTATTAGTCTTTATATCAGTCAATAAAATTAGCTAAATTTAATTTTTCATTTAGCTGAGGCTTTTTGTGTCACAAAAACTCAACTATTTTCAAATTAAGATGAACTAATTTGATGAAAAAGGCATTGAAAACCACGTATAATCTTATCAAAAATTATTGAGGATGTTAGTGAGTCTGCAAAAAGTCAAAACTGGCCAGTAGAATAGATAATAGTAGAGTGTGTTACGTTTGTGATTCTCAACTTGGACTCTGCAATCATAACTCTTGTAGACTAACAGTAAGTAAGTTTCATTTCACTTTCAATAAAATTATTATAGATAACTGAACTCTTTAAAAAGATCTAAGTGTAGCTGAACATAATAAATTTGCGGATTATTGCACTTTCAAACAATATTTGAATTTTCATTTGCGTTAGAGTAAATTGTATAAATTGTCTGCTTTACTTTCAAATGTAAATGATTTAATTTTACTAATCCTGTTATCAGTGATCCATTGAACTCATTGTAGTGAATTGCCAAATTAGGTGAACCCATATGCAACCAACCATTTTAACGCTTGTCTACTTGAGCAATTGTTTTTCACGTTAATACAGGAATTTTCGATTTTCTGCAACTATTATATTGTTATATTAGTCAACAAGCTGCAGCAGACTCGAAGACATTATAAAAAATATTTTCATGGAAACAATATTGATTTGGATTGATGCTCAATTCCATTTGTGAGTGGTTTAAGTTTTTGTGATCGTATGCTTTCAAATTAAGATGATTTCATGAAAAGGGCATTGGAAAACCACGTTAAATCTTAGAAAAATCTTATTACTGCGTGTGTTGTGGTCGGCTACACGTTGCAATCATAACTCTTGCAGACTAAGTTTCATTTTACTTTCAATAAAATTATTACAGATAACTGAACTTTTAAGAAGGTTGCAGTGTAGCTAAATATTATAAATTGGCGGATTATTACACTTTCAACCAATACCTAAAGATGGCTCCACTCTTACAGCATTATGTGCATATTACTAAAGGGTGTATTGTTTAAGAGTGAAATTATGTGAGCAAAAGAGTAACATTTACTTATCTGATTGTGGTGATTATGACGATAAATATGTTGATAAGATGAAGATAAAAGTGAAAATGGACAATGATGAAAAATGTATCATATTTATCAACATCTTTATCATCATAATCACCACAATCCGGTGAATAAATTTTTCCCTTTTTGCTCCCAAAATTTCACTCTTAAACAATACACCCTTTATGAAAATTATTGCATTCTTAGCAATAAAAATCAACTGAAATCAACTAAAAATTTTGCATTCATGTAATAATTTGATTGCAATAAAATTCATTAATACATAGACATTTATTGAGCATTAAAATGTTTGTTACAAAAATATTGTGACATAAAAAAGTACATCTTTCATTTTACAAAAAAGTCGATATCGTTATAAATGATAAATTTTCAACTCATTTCAATAAGTTTAGTGTCCAAGATAATTTCATTTAATATCAAGGTTGGATAAGAAAAATATCGACCCGTGAAAATCGCATATTTCAGTATAAAATTTACATGCTGATTGAGCAAAAAGAACAAGCATTTTGAAAATAAATTTTTGATTAATTGAAAGGGCTATTATTTGGTATAGAAAAGTATTTGCTCATTTGATTTGCAAAAAGTGCCTTTTAAACGATAATTTGATTCGACTGGAGCATCGGATAAATAAAGACAGTTCATTATTGATAAAATTTTGTACCAAATTAATATCAATAGCTAATGTTTCTCTCAATGGATCTTGATTGGTCCCAAACGGTTATAACTTGCCAATTTGTTCAAATCACCATTCATTTCCATCCATCTCTTCGTGTGTTGCATCAATTTCATCATTTCTATTCCCTTCATTATCAACATTGTTAAACAAGTTCAAGTAAATTCTGCATCATGAACGAGTAAGTATTAATACTCTTGCTTTTAGCTGGCAAAATGCAAAGCAAGATACAGAAATGAGAAGCAAAGGCAAAGGTATTTTGCTGTTATTAGGTTAATCCAAATTGACCAAACTGCTGCTTCCAATAATGATGACCAATGATATCATTTACCTTTCCTTATTGGTTCACGAAAAAAAAAACCATGAGATTAGTCATTCTTCTTCTTGTTGCCAATTTCTTGTTATTGTTGGTGCAAACATTTTTCTCAGTTCAATCATGATAGTGAAACATTTTTCTTCTCATTTTTGTCTTGATGAACCAATCACCTTTTTCATTTCCTTGGGACATGTGGTCAGGTTTCTCTTGACAACTTTAACTTTGTTTCTCCAGCCACTTGACAGTTGAATCTCTATTGATGAACAGTTTAGAGAAAAAAAGTAAAGTCGAAAAAAATATCCCCTGGACAAGTAAAAATTATCCTTTAGGCGTCTCATTATTTCTCCAGTCAAACAAAAAGTCATCGCTTGTGTAATGACGAATGATTATCCTTCATTTTCCTTGAAACATTCACCTTTGCCAAACTTTCATTTTGCAAATTTACTCGACATCAATAGCAATCATGGATAATGAGCAGTTTTTAAACGGGCGTTGATAAGGGTGTTATCTGCTTTTGAGATGAATTTCTCTGGAAAAAGTTGAAAAGTTAAAATTAATATGAGAGTAAAAAGGTTGGAATCAATGTACAGTTGGCTTTGACCATTTCAAAAATGAATAAAACATTTATCAAAATGTATCAAATTATATAGTTAACAGTTGACAGGTAACAGTATAAAATTGTCACATTAAAAGGGAAAAAAGGTTATCATCAATTTTGGCGAACAAGTCTATTCGTTGAATGCAATAAATTTGATAGCTAAATAGAGTGAAATGCAACAAAATGGGATAAAAATGAGACAATTTTACAAGTCGATTTTTCACCAAATAAAAAGCTTTTAAATTTTCAATAAAAGTCCATTTTAACGCTCCAAATTAGCATTGAAATTGATGAAATTTGATACAGAAAATGGAAAGTCTAATAAAATGTCAAAGTGAAAAAGATCGTAATTCAAATGCAATTCATAGATGAATGCATCAAAGAAGTTGAGACGAAAATTTCAATTAATTTTTCTTTCTATTATTCCTGATACAAGACCTAAACTTAAAAATAAACTTCTACCAAAGTGATAAAACATTATCGACCTTCCAAAATTCATCAATCTTTAAAAATTTAAAATTCCAAGTATTCGTCATTCTTCATGCCAAAGCCATTTCGTTTGAAAGAGCCAAAGCCCATGAGTCGATCAAAATTAGAGAAAAGATCTCCACCAATCGAAATACTTTACCTGATAAGAAAAATAGAGCCCGTTCATCAGTGGAGTTTCGTTGACTGCGAGTGGTTCATCTTCGTTCAAAATAATGACTGAAGGTTCCCTCATAATTGTTTGCGAAGGTAAAAGATATCGAGAAAGTCTTTTCCCACCATTGATGCTGTCACCTTGGTTGGTGGACATTGTTGACCCTGATTCAGATCCTGCCTGGTCGTAGTAAGCATCACCGTCTGGAGTGATTCGCTGAGAGGGAAAAGGCAAAGTATGAGATAAAGTTTTGTCAAGTTCTGTTCAAAATCAAACTCTTTTTTTGGGCAATGAAAAAATAATCTTCACTCGAATGAATTTTCCATGAAAAGTGTTTCACAATGATTGCACCAAAATTTTCAATCAAATTTCTTTTCTCTTTTCAACTCTTTTCCCTTTAGCTTTCATTTGCTTCTTTACATTCACCTTTACACTAAATTGCTTGTCATCATTCCCTTACGTACTAATAAATAATATCATGTCAACTTTTGCACCTTCAATTTATCAACAGCCAAATTTAGGCTGAAAAATATGAAAAGGAAGAGTAAAAGGGAAAAGAATGAAAAACAAACAAAAAAAGGGCAAAATTGATGTGAGCTTCTTTCAATGGTATTTTGTCAACATGGTTATTAACTGAATGAATGGTTTCAAAGTTCAATCATCTTGGGACTATCATGAGCATTTATCGTATAAAAATGGATGAAAGTAAAGGAATAACAAGCGGAGATAAAGAAGTGAATCAGAAAAAGTAGATGAGAATATAAAGTTGCAAGATAACTTTTCATCAATAATAATGATTCTAATAATAATAGTGATAATCATGATAATGATGGTAATATGTTTTGTTGAGGAAACAAATGAATTTGAAAATATTTTCAAACTTTACTCTAACCTTAAGTCGATACTTTTGCTCCAGCAAATGCTGTAATCTTGTCTTGAACAGAAATCAAAAGTAATCATTGGAATGAAAACTTGTCAAAACTGGGTAAATATTGTTGCAACATTTGCTTGGAAAACATAAATTTTTCATGAAAATTTCGAGAAAAAATTGAACTTTCTTTTTGCAGCTTTAAATGTTCATCATTTATTCAACACAATTTTCGGTCAATTTAATGAAACAATGTAATGACCATATTAAATGAGAAAAAAAATCAATGTAACCTTTTCATTTCGACTCTTTTTGTTCACGTAATGAATAGTTTCAGTGATAATATTGTGACTACTAATGAGATAATGTTCATTTATAGTTGAATCAAATGTAATTTTGGATTCATTGATTTTTCCTTGTTACTGTTCTCTAACCATTGAAGCTTCATTTACCTGATCTAAAGCCAACTTAACCAGTCCATCTTCTTTGCTTATATCGAATCCATTCTCACTCGTTTCATGAGCCAGAATATACTTGTCGCCATGATTGAGATCAGTATTCCAGCTATCAATAGTTTGAGTTGTCTCTATGTTCAACGTCTCTAGAAGTTAGGTTCAGGGGATTGGGTGAAAAATGAAGAGAAAAAAGTTTTCCGAGTTTAGCATAAGACGGCAAAAAAGTGTAAGTAAACAATGGACAGAAAATATTTATCGAATCTGAAAAGATGATTTCGGAGTTAATAATCGAAATTTTTTTTCTCAATTGAAATTCAATTTTAGTTACTTTTTGAAGTCCATCATTTCCGATCAACTTGAAGAGCAATATTTTCGAGATTTTTGTTTGGCAAACATTTAGATAAAGATTTCTTGTAACTCGACTGAACTCGGAATCATTTTCGTGTTCGAATTGTATTTCTTTGAATTACTTTCGAAACTCAGATTTTATCATCGAATAGTACAAATATTTTTCATTTTTTCGAACTTTGAACAGATTTTCTGCTCAACTCAAGTTTTCAACTTTTCATTCGAGGTTGAAGGATAAATGAAAAGTGGAAAAGCTGGAAGCTTTTGTGAATCTTTTGACGACTACAATAAGCAAGCTCATTCAATTGGATGCAATTTAGTTTTCCGTTTTTGTAAGCGGTGTAGTTGTTTGTATCAAAATAAACTATTTGGATGAATGTATTAACCCAGGTATAAATTCATTTTGAAATGTTATTCCATTTTTCAATTGAATTTCTATTTTTTCAAGGCAAATTTTCTTCTTTTTCCATTTTCTGACTATTTTCACATTTTCTATTTTCTATCATTATTATTCATTGAATTCATTGAATGGTTAAAAAGAAGGGAGAAAAAAAGAGAATGAAAAAGAAGAGCATCAAAAGTTAAAAAATGTTTGATACAATTTGATGGCAAGTTGCATGTATTGAATCAGAAAATATTGGTAAACATGGCAAAAGCACAACAGAAGTATGAACAAGGAAAAAAAGCAACTCAAAATGCATATTCAACTTTATCATTTTCAATGTTTATATCTATTTGTTTTCTTGTCCTCATTTCTTTTCATCATCAGCTTCTTTCAACTGATTCTCCGAGTTTCATCTTCTTTTCACAATTCAATCATTTCAGCCTGTAGGGATGACTTGCATCATTTATATCGACAATCATTGTCTTTAAAATGTTCCACAGAGATTGAAAAGGAATGAAGGCAAAAGAAGAAGAAGAAGAAGAAGAAGCAAAATGAAACAAAACAAAAGGCCAAACAAAAGCTCAATGACTTTGAAATCGTTTTCATGCCAAGCAAGGAAACGATCAAAACTTTATCTTTACAAACTGTAACTTTGCAAAGTCTGCCAAAAGTGAGAACAGAAAAGGTTAGTCTATCGAAACAGAAGAAAAACAATAGAAAGAAACTCTGAAATTTCATCTTTTCATATTCCCTGTTCATCATGGAAATGAGTCTAATTGTGGTAAATGGAAAGAGGGTTCATTTCGATGTTTAGTATTCATCTTTAAGTTACCTTCTTCAGTGTTGATCAGTGTGTGTCCATTGGGCTTGTGAGGCATCGAGTGAGGTGGAGTTGGGTTGTGAGGTTGCCTTGATGAGTTTTGTCGAGATCGAGAATCTAAAGAACAGTAAATAAGAAAAGGCGTTTGATTAACGAGTTGAAGATTATTTTCCATTGTTCTTTCATTCAGCAATCAGTCGAATCAAGTGTGTCTAAATTGTTGATGAAGCCCACAATTGTAGTTGAACGAAAAATTTCGTTCTTCATTCTTTGGCTCATTCATCGTATCTTGCAGTAAATTCATTAGCATTTCAATGAAAATGGAAATGCACAGAAAAAGTAAATTTTGAAGGAAAGTGATGAGAAAAACAAATAAATTTGCACTCAAACAAATGAGGAATTAAATTAAATTTAATCTTTTCTATTCAATTGTAATTATAATTCATTCCAAGTTAATCGACTAAAAATATTGTTCAACATTTCCAGCGTTTTTACAATTAATGTGCAACAAAAAGTATTAAAATGGATTAAGTATTCAAGAGAAGGTGGAAAACGAAAAGAGAAAGTTTTCTCAATCATGGTTGAGAACAGAATTGGCAAATGAAATTTGATCGAAATTCAATTGAATCGCAAGGAAACTAGAAATTTATCAATTGTCTAGTCAACTCTGTTTTCCACCAACAGATAATTTTGAAAATTATTGTTCAATTGATTAAGAAAAAATTGCTTTTTCAATCAACATTTCGTTTTCCGTTTCAATGCAAAGTTTTCCCTCTTTTCAGTATTTTTTGTTGTTCAATAAAATTTCATGTTAAATATTGTCGACTGGCAACGAGGAAATTATCAATTCTTTGTTTTTTATGTTTCCATGCAATTCCTTCAGTTGCTAATGTAAATTTGATAAAAGTTTAAAATGTTGGCAAATATTGACAACTAAACAGTTGCAAATTGAATTGATTTGTTAAATTTGTTCAATTTTTTTCGTTTTTATTTTGAATCGAAATTGATTGATCGTGATAAAAAAAATGAAATGTTTTAATAATGACTTTTGTGTGCACAAATTCAACTTTCGAATCAAAGTTTTCTGTTGAAAAATGTTGAGCTATACTTTACCTTTATCATCGTCAAAATTTCTGATTCGAGCAATAATCATAATTGCAATTGCAGTGAAAACCAAAGATCCGATAACACTGATCAATGCTGCTATCACAGGAGTAATTATATTAATGTCAGCTGTGAGAGAAAAGAGAAAAAAGTTCAGTAAATTGGATTTCTTCATTAACAATGTTGTTTAAAATTTGTGTTGATTCTTCAATAGCTTTATTTCATCGTCATGAAATTTGAGAAAATATTTTTTCGTAAAAAAATCTATGCATATATTGCTGCATGAATACTCATGTTTCAATGTAAAGCTATTAATAACTTAACATTATGCGAGTAATCAGTAAATTAAGTTTAGAATCCTTACTTCGACTGGGAAAGGGCAAGGTGCTTGCTGTAAGAGCAACTGAATCACTGCGACCCTTTGAGTTGGCTGCATAAAGAAGAAGTAAAAAAGGTGTTCCCTTGGGCAGTGAGTTTACTTCAAAAATTGGACTTGGAGTTGAGGTTAGGTTGGTGAAGAGTAGACCAGTTATGGAATGATAAACTTCAAGATAAAAAGATTGCTCAAGGCCACCATCTTGTCCAGGTTCACATTTAATTACAAGACTGTCCATTGATTGGTTACCCACAAGGCAATTTTTAATTGGTTCAGGCAGTCCAGCTGGGATAACATTGAAAACACAGGGTTCTCTTTGTTCACCCACAATGTTGCTAGCCCAACAGTACAGTTGACCATAACCAAATTTGGTTCGAGGTGCATAAGTGGCAAGGCTTGTTAGACGAGAGGAAACGAAACTTTTTATCGGTATCAGTGTATGAGAGTTGTTTAAAGCCCAACGAAAGGTCACTTGAGATGGATCAGCTTCAACTGTACAAGGCACTTTGATGGGTTCTTTTGTGGCTAAACCATAAACTACTTTTTGATTTGGGGCACAAATAGGTGAATCTAAATAAAGAGTAAAAAATGAAACCATTTATTTTCATTCTCACTCAAGGAAAAAATATTCAAATGTTTTGCTCGATTTTTCACCATTTTTACAACAGATAAGAAAATGATGTTTCAATGGAAATCTTGAAAAGTTCCAAATTCATGCAGATATAATGTTCAATGCTTTTACTCTATTCTTACCATGGTGCTTGAACGAATCAATGAAATTTTAGAAAGCGATTTACCTTAATTGCCAAGTTCAATCACATATTAATTAAATTTTTTGTTTGCCTCTTCTTCCCACTTCAATATCTTTTATCCAATGCATTCTAACACATAAACCAGGTCAGCATTTCATGATATTGAATTATTGACTTGATGACCTCAAGATGAGATGGCCAAAAGAGGATCAGGATATAAAAGTGTATAGAAAAAGGTGTAACTTTACTGTACTGTAATTATGAATAAAGGTGATTTCTCGATCAAGTAATTGTACAAACGAACTTTTTCATGCTCAAAGTAAATCTTAAAAACTTTGAAATCACTTTTTTTCGAGATGAATGTTCTTTTAAACAAAATAATTTTATTAAACCAACTTAGAAATTTAGTAACTTGAAAAGATGAAGAACGTTAAAACTTTTTAATCTTAAAACTTAGAATTCATGAGTTTATCGAGACTTTAATTTACTGAAATATTTGCCATTGTCTGTGAGTTTATCGATTTTACTTTCATCTTGAAAAGTAAGCCACAAGAAACAATAAACTGTTTGGTTGATAGGATAATTTGGTGGTCAAATTGACACTTTTTTACTCTCACCCATTCAGATTCATCATCTAAATGGTGGGTTAATGATTATCTAGCCTTTCCATCTGGTGAATCTCGTCAACTAAACAAGATGAATGTTGTACCAAAAATAGTTGATAAATTGATGAGAAAATCGAGAAATCGAACCTCTACAAATTGAGAACAAAACTTGATTTTATTAATTTCTAATTGCTCACTTGTATAACTAACACGAAATGATAAAACATATTAACCATTTATTAGTAGTCCACATTACTTGCTTTAAGCACATTAAGTTCTGGTTAATCTCTGCTCTTTGGCTCATCGAAGGGTTCAATTTTTCAATTTTTTAGATTCATACAATTTTGATAATGAACAACAAAGAAAAATTGGATTTACCAGGAAAAAACAAACAAAATGCCTTTTACCTGATTAAAAAGCAAACTATCAAATTGTAATAGCTCATGAAATATTAGACAACTTTTCAGAACTGAGAAATTAACCTTTTCTTCCTTTCAGATTCACATTTAGATTTTAAACTTTACAATAATGGCATTTCACTAATTATCCTTTTAGCATAATTCCCTACCAACAGCAAAGTTTTGAATATAATGCTAATTAAAGTTTCAATTTTAAGTGATTAAATTTTCATTCTTTATAAAAGCATATTTATGTGATGAGTTTCACGTTGAAGCACATTTGTTGTTTCACCTTTTACCTTTATCTATCCAATCTTGATTACAAATAATGAACCTTCTTTCAAGTTATTAGCAATATCGATGAGAAAGAATGGTCTTCATCGAAAGTAAAGGCAAGGTGTTGCAAGTGTTTAAAGCGTTAAATGGTGTGAGAAGATAAAATAATGGTTAACTTTTTACTCTTGCCTTTGCTTTCCAATCAACAGCATCAATAAAGTTCAGTGGAAAAAAAATTTGATCAGAAAATGTTGAAAGGCAAAGTCTGGCCGAGAAATGCTAACATGAAACTTAAAGATTGTAAAAGTATCTTTGGTTGATTTAATGGCTTCAAGTGTGGCTTTTTAAGGTAACAGCAACATTGGGTAAAAGCAAGAGCAATAATAATATGATATAATAATATAATAATAACAAGAGTAGAAAATTGTTCTTCTACATCAACTCATCTTGAAAAAGAAGAGGGCAAAAGAAGGAATAAAATGGCACAATAAACTAACAGGGAAAAATGATTTTAATCGATTGATTTCTTCGAGTGAACAGAGGCAACAAGAAAAAATCATTGGCAAAATTATTTTTCTTTTTTTCTCATTTCCTTTCATGTTTCAAGTAAATCAAAATTATCAAGATTCTGACAAACGAGCTTTGATCTTTCAATCTTTACTTTTCATTTCATTTTTTCGTTCATTCACTTTTTCTTCTGATATTCATTTTCCATGCTTCACAGCAATAATGCAAATCACTTGAATTTCATTCTCATGATCGTCTCTCTAATGTCATTATCTTATTGGATATTGATAGTCCATTACAACTGAAAAGTCTAACTTGAAAATAAAAGGTCAAAGTATCAATGGATTATGTTTTACAGGGAAGCTTCATAGGTGCGTTACGGCAATCTAATTTTAATCGTTAGATGAGAGTTGAATCGTGTAATTTTGAAAGAGAAAGAAAAATATTTTTTTATTTATGAAAGAAGTTTCTAGCTTTTTATTAGCTCTGAATTTAGGCTAAAATTGTGATGCTTATGTTATCCTCATTCCTCGAAACTATATCGACTGGAAAATTTTTCATTTGCAAAATACTAGAGCGACATGTTCTAGTTTCTTTAGTCGCTAATAGATCGAGACACCTTAGAGTCAACACATGTTAATGGTTTCAAATTTATCAACTGAAATTGTAGCAAATCTCTTGATGTAAGATTTTTAAAAGTGATAGCAAATAAATGGTTAGTTTAATCAAACCATTTGTGATCTATTAGATACCAACTGAATCAACTATGAATCTTTGGATAAGAGAGTCAAATGTTATCGTGTCAAATTCAAAAATAAGTTATGGTTTGACTATTTACCTTTTATTCGTGTATTTATTGAAATAAAGTTATGACTATCGTTAGATAACCCTCACTCTTTGTTGTATTGGATAATGAAAGATGGATGAATGAATGAACGAATGTAATGCAAATACAGAAATGTAGAATCCTTTTGCAAAGGCTAAATGTTTGCAATAAACATTCACAATTGTGTCTCTAATGCAAATACAATTTAATCGCATTCACTATATAAGCATCAACAATATCACTAGTGTGTTGGATTGTTTGAAGGTTGTAAGAGGTAATACTTTATCGTTGAGTTGAGTTGAGTTGAGTCTTGGTGAAGTCGAGTAGAGGTCGAGTCCTTACACACCGAGGAGGTCATAGTCTTGACCTCTCAACATCTTTCTACAATGGAACTGTAACTTGATTTTAATCATGACACTAATCATGAGCTGCAGGAGCAGTTGTCGAATGTTCGAGACTTTTTATTGCATCTTGTTACTTTTATGAATATTCTTGATCGTCTGACTCGAAATGTAAACTTTAATGATTATTCATTCGTCAAAGTTGATTAGCAGGAAAAACTGAACTCTAAACAATTGCATGAATTCACAGCAAATGCCTTTTCTCTAGCAAATCATTTTCTTTTACTCAAACATTACAACACTTTCAGTCAGTCAATCTTGAATATTGATATTTCAGTTGCTCAACATAATTGTGATTGGCCATTTTTTTCCTTCTTTTTTCTCCTTTTCTCCTCTTTTCAACACAATCAACCAATTTTGTTACAAATTAATCCTTTACAATATTACTTAGTGAGAAATATTTATTCAGCTAGATTATTCTGATTATTCAATAGAGCAAAAGATGAGATAACTCAATGTATTCGAATGAAGTTACATTGAAAAAGAATCAAGAGAAATATTATATTCATTCAGTTGCAACTCTTTTCTCGGTACATCAATCTGAACATCCCGATTCCACAATTTCATCTCTTATCTTCACCATCCTCTTCACCATCATTTTTATCATCATTATATTCATTTTTTTCTCTCTCTCTTTTCGCTCTTGATTTCTCATCTTCATCTACATCTGGCTTCTGTTTACTCATTACAATAAACTGGATTCAATGCCATGAAAAGACAATCAATCACCCAACATTGTCTTTTGTAGGGCATCATTTTTACTCTGGAAATCAAATTTATCGATTCATCGATTCTGCATGATGAACAAGGAAACCAAGGAATGGGTTGAAGTTTCGTTGGATAAAATATGATCAAATCCAACATTTCCGTTGAAAAAACAACATTTGACTATATTATTCTCATGAACCGTTCATTCATATTATTGATGCCCTCATTATATTCAGATTGTAATCGTTCAATGACCTTTCAACATGACCAATAATATTGTTTCGCCTCTCAACTTGGACAACACCATTAACAATGGGAAATATTATTAAACCTGTAATTGGCAGCAGTCAAGGTTCATAAATTGACCATCAAATGGAGAGAATGCAAAACACTTTACTGAATATGAAAAAACATTTTTACTCAATTCATTCAATTTATTCATTCATCCTGAATACCCATTCAAAGGTCAAGATATTATTGAAATATTTATGACATTTGCAGGGAAAAAAGGAAGAGACTTTTATCAAGAACAACAATTGAAACATCATTTTCCATGCATTTCTCTTTATGGATTAAAGTTGAAGAAAGGAAATCATTTTTTGCTTCCTTTTCTTCGTCACTTGTACTTACATAAAACTCGAAGATTTATCTCATGGCTGTAACCATCGCCTTCAACGTTTAAAGCCACACAACGATATTTACCCGATTGATGGCGTGTTATGTTGCGAATGGTCAGGGAAAAGTTGCGAAAAATGAGATCAACTGAACCAAGAGAATTGGAATTTATTGAGCGACCATTAAACTGCCATGAAACTGATGAGATGGGCGGATTGGCAATTACATGGCATTCAAATGTTACATCAGTCAATTCCCTGATTTGATCATAATACAGATTAGATCCAAGGGATAATGATAATTTAGGAACAACTGGGAATCCAGGAAATGTGCAGCAAAAAGAGAAAAGTAAATGAGACAAAAACAGATATGTAATGGTGAATAATTAATAGAGAACAAAAAAAACAACAAAAAGAATCAGCAATTTTGTTTCATTCGCTCTTCATTTTCTCTTCGTTTCATTACCATGTCTGTTCAGTTGAAATCATCAGCCAACAGAAGCATCATTAATCATTTGCATGGCAGTGAAAATGCGCAAAAAAGAAGCAAGAAAAACACTAAAAAACAATTAATCTGTTTACCATGAAATGGCATAAAATGATACACAAAGTTGATACTCAACTGTCGATAAACTGTCGAAGAAAATCAAAAATAAAAAATCAAGTTCCATCATGTTCAATGGTCAATCAAAAAATGAATAACTGAATAATAAGCTCGTTAACTTTTCCCTCCAAATCTGCTCACAACTCAAAAGAGAAAAAGAGCAAAATTTGACCTTTTCAGAACATTTCATGAAAAAATGAATTTCTTTTTCTCCTAAACTTTTTCTTCATGACAAATGCGAAATGCAAAAATCAATTCGTTTCATTAAAGATAATTAATTTACTCGTGAAAAAACTCTGTTAATGTAATTTTTTGTTCTTTCCTTTTCATGGAAACTTTTGGTGAAACCAAATGAACTTTTAAAAGCCATAAAGGTAAAGATAATGGTTAAACCACTGATTGAACATATCGCCAGTAATAATTAGTGTTGGTAATGGTTAATGTGGTTGTGAAGGGAAAAAGGTATCTGAATTTAAAAACAATTAATTCATCAATTGGTTCATGCTTCACGAAACATGTTGTCGTCAGTGAATAAGCATTTTACAGTGATAAAAACATGAAGAAAATGAAAGGCGAAAAAAAAGTTAACAAAAAAAAGTTAATTTCATCAACTAAAAGCTTGATGAAATTTTGATGTTGCCTAAGTAAAGATTTTGTCTCAACCTGCTTCTAAGGCCTCAACTGCATTAACTCAAATTGATTGTTGGCTAAACTTTTTTCTTCACCTTTTTTCCTATTCATATGGAAGTTGATCATTTTTGACGATTTTTTTTCTTCTCTTCTGGTTTCAACAGATCAACTCTTTCCTGACTCTTGTTTAGGTAAATTTCGTCTTAATGCAATTCCATTTTGGCCCATTATATTCAGTTCATCAATGTCATCGCAAACTCGATTCTCTTGATTCACCAACTTTACACTTTTTTTTTCTTCATCTTTCAACTTCGACTATTACTTTTCATCACTCTTGATTATTCATTGTCGCAACAACTTTCATTGATTTACCAATGATTAGTTGGTTGAATCTTTACTGCTAATTAATGATCAAACATGGAAATTGTTTCACTTTACTTTCCTTTTCTGTTATCACTTGCAAAGTAGAAATATCAACTTCTTTTTTGTAACCTTTTCTTGATTTCATTTTCGTTTTTTTTCGAACATTTTTCTTGCTCTTTTTCACCCATTTTATTGCCTTTTTTATTTTCTTGTAACAAAGTTCTTAATCTATTGTAATTAACTTGAAAATTTCATGTTGCATGAAGATTTAATGAGAACGGAAGGCAAAATCAAGAGATAATCATCTTAAAGAAGAAATAATTGGTTAATTATTGATCGATTAGAATCAAATCTTTTTGCTTCATGATGAATCGAAAGCTAAATGCTAACAGTTTCATGATCAAGTTTAGATCTAAATAATCAATGATGCGACCAAGTTTACTTTAGATTTCAATTTTCGTTTCATCTGATATTCCATGATAAAAATAGAAACTCTCAAAATTAATTTATTCGTTTCTTTTGATGATAAAACTTACAATATACATCCAATACCCATGAATCGTCGATCGCAGAATCAGGTAAAATGGAATGATCAGCTCGACAGGAAAGTATTTTACCATTATCTTCAGCTGTTGGAGTAAAATGGACAACTGAAGTGGTCAAATTTTCCGAACTGGTCACATCTTCTGTAACATGTTGAAGTCTTTTAGGACCTTTCCACCAAGTAACAATAGCTGAAGGTCTTGAACCTTCTGAAGTGCACTTTAATTCGACCCGTTTACCAGCAGAAAGCGCACGCTTTGGACTTATTATACGAACATTTGTAGGACGAACTAGAAAAAAACAAAAAAAAAGATTGAGAATATTTTACAAACTTTTACTCTGAAATTCACTCATTCAAACCCATTTTATACTAACGATGTTGAACTTGAACTCGACTCATTTCACATCCAAAACTTTCGTTTGGGAAAAACAAAATTCAATTTTTCGAAGCCAATTTTTTCCATACAAATATTCGAAGTGATTTATCAATCCATTTTTACACGAAAAATTTATTCGGAATCAAAATGGGAAATTCATCTGTCGAAAGTCAGTAAATTTGAACTGTTTTTGGACGAAAACTATCAACAAGCTTTCGTTGTTGCCCTTTACACGAAACTGGTCAGTCAATATTGTTTGGATAAAAAAACAAGATTAACTACACAGAATTTATCTGATGAACATTTCGATGATAATCTCAATTCATTTATCATATCATGAACCTCGACTTTAATGTTCATTTTTTGCCTTCTCCTTCCTTCTCTTAACCATCGTTAAATCATTATTATCATTCTTATCTTTTTTTTCCTTCTCATGTAACTTATAGCCATTAGTTGCAGTCAAATAACTGACATCAACTGTACACACTAAATACAAACACTTGCCTTTCTCAATCCTTTCATCAGCATCATCATCTCTTGAAAAGAATAGCAAAAAATGAAGAGAGCGAAAGAGAGAAAAAAAAGTTCCAAGTCAACATATTCCACTTCCTTGAATGGGACAGACAAAGATGAAGATGAGGAGAGGAAGAAGGAAAAAAAGCTCAGTCAAGAAGATGGAAAAGTATCGAGAAAAGAGTGTAAACGAGCTCAATTGAATGAAAGTGAGGCGAGATAACTAATAAGTAGAGAGATTTTTCCATGAAAAATAATCATTACCTTTTTTTCTCAATCATTTTCTCACAGCTTCCAACATCTTGATACAATGGTAAAGGCAAACTTTAATGTTGCCATTTTTATCATCTTTATCTCAAGATGATGAACACACTCTTGAGAATCAAACTTGGCCCTTCAATAATCGATGGCAAAAGAGGAGAGAAAAGTGTACAATAAAAGTACACAATCGATCAGTTGCTTAATTTATAAACATAAGTGTTTGCCAGGAAAATGAGGTAAATCTTGTATAAAAGTGTTGAAACAAGAAGAGAAGAAGTAATCGACGAAATTTAGTCATTTTTGTCTTTCTATTTTCGACTCAACTCTTCAAGGGTAAACGTCAAATTCAACATTTTTTTTCGTTTCTCCGAGTTCGCCAAGTAAAAGGGAAAATGATAACAGCTGCAACATTGATAAATTTGGATAAAATGATGAAGATTAATTTTCGTCAGAATTTTCATTCTCTTGTTTTCAACTAGCAAAGAGTGCTTGTCTGGTTTGTATCATTTTCGAGAAACAATCTGAATCTCGAGTCAAAACTTGAATTATATTCCATCAACGGATCATTACTCTCAATCTTACAGGCTACTTTTCATCGATCCCCTGAGAGTCTGTATCTCACTCTTTACATGTTGGTCAATTTGTAACACTATTGTAAAGATTTTCTGCTTTTCGTTCTTACACCGATTACTCGAGAAAAAACAATTGAAATTAAATTTCGCTCATTTCGGTCACTCTAATGAAAAATCAGAAATAAGTATTTCCAAGTCTCCAAGCCTCAAAATTTTTCTTCGAATCTCTCTAAATGTTTGGACTAAAATCGTTAATTTGCATCGAATTGAGTTTCGCGATGATCTGAGGTAAGATTAAACTTAATAAACTCGCTGTAAACTTTGAACACTAAAAGGATCAAACTTTTGTAAAATGATTAAACAAACTTGAAATTGTTTTGTTATTACAGTTTATTTACTTTTCATATGTTTAAATGAATATTGAATTGAGAAGGAAAACGATGCAAAAAAGTTATCATAATTTTCAGTGATAATGCATACAAATTACTTTTTGATGAAACATCATTAAGAGGTTTTCAACAAGAAAAGCTGGAAATGAAATTTCCATCCAGACAAATGAAACATTTTTTTTCCAAAGAATTTCTTATTTTAACTTATTTTCTGTTTGTTTTTTCATTTCTCATTTCACGCTTCCCATTCTTTTCATCAAAATGTCATGATAATTCAATCCTGTTCAAGAAGAAGAAATAATTTCTCAAACCGTTCCTTGCTTTTGTCAGAAGTTATCAAATTGAATTGATGTACTTGCAATGTAGACTTATAACAATGGAATCAGTTAGCATAAAGTAAAAGTTTAAAATAAGTCAAGTATCATTAAGAATTATAAATTAATTTGAAAACGAGTTCGACAATGTTGCTGGAAGAATTGAATGTTTCGAGGAAAAGTCTTTTTTTCCTGGAAAATTCTATCTCCAGACGAGTTGAAAATTTTGACCAAAAGAGTTTCATTCCAATGATGGAGCATTTGATGAAATGAGGTAAAATCAAGGAAATTCAATTTTATATCAATTTTCAATGGAACCAAGAAAAGCTTTTCTCTATTCGTCTTTTATTTTCCCCTTCTTTCAACATTTATCTATTGGTTATTATCATTTGAAATTTTTGCTCCATTCTTCAGCTTCAACTGTCCATTAGAATCCTATGTTACACAAAAAATGTAACACTTTTTTTGTCCTCTTTTCTGAAGAAGAAAATGAAATATAAAAAAATCCTAGACCTTTTCAGTTTCCAGTCAAGCCTTCCAAGCAAATGCTTATCTCAGCAATAATGCGCTTCCAATGCTCTTTTTATCAATATTTTCATTCTCACATTTTTCAGAGTTGAATAGAAAACTGAGCAAAAAAGAAAACTTTGTTTTTCTCTGAAGAGAGTGAAATGAAAACTCTCAATAAACTGTCAAGTTTGTAATCACTTTGAGCATTTCAAACAAGAAATTCATTCTCACCAAAATTGGTGGATATTTTTGGAAATTAAACTTTTTATCCAATTGCAATCAAAATTGTTATTCAATTCAAAAGCAAGTCAAGTTTTGCAAGAGTAACTTTTTGTCTACTCTTCATTAACCATTAAATTAGATTAAGACTAGACTCGAGTGTAAATGGTTGGACAGAAGAGGCAAAAGATGAAACATTGTCATTGAAAGTTAATGTTTCTGTAAATAGTGCAACATCAGCCTTTAAAGAGGCAATAAAGTGACTTGGCAAGGATTGACAGACTCGGTTATTCATCTTCATCATACTGTCTCAATAAATTAACATCACACGAAATTTAAAGCCAGACTATTGAAGGTTAAAAGATGCAAGTTACAACTTGTTAGTTAATCAGAGATGAAAGTTCATGATACTTGTGATGGGTCAACTTGGTGTCCATCAAAATTTATTACGTTTGATGTTCACTTACGATTGAGATCCAATGTGATGCTTGTTGAAACTGATTTGGTTAAATTTGAATTGTTGGCTATACACGTCAATGTACTCATCAAGTCACTTCTCTGGATTCGGTTTATCAAAAGTTCGTTGCGAATTATTCCTTGAACAGTTATATTCCAAGTTTCATCGATGAGTCGCCCATCCTTGTACCAACGGAGTTCAGGTTGAGGTGAACCTACAATAAAAGAATAAAATTTAGTTTTTTTTCGATTCGAAATGAACTTTGATTCAGAGTAAATTTGGAAATTTGAAATTGAACCGCTTAAAAGCGCAAAATTGGAAAAAATTTTAATCTTTGCTTTTTTGCCATCAAAGACAACTTAATGGTTTTGATGAAAAGAATGGAAAGAAAGTGAAAAAATGAAGTTTAAGTTATAAGTTGAACCAATAGAGAAGCGAGTAAAATTGTTGCTTCAGGGCTAGTTTCAGTTCAATCATGATACTATTTGAGGTTCAAATTGATTGAACAAACGAAAAATTTTACACTTTTCTTTTTCTCTGCTGCACCTTTGTTCACTTTATCACTACCATAACCATCATCATAATCACCGTCATTATCATTCTCATTGGCACCGAACTTTTCCATTTTTTTGCTTCTAAAACTTAAAGTCAACTGAAGCAAAGTTACCAACGAAAAGGCAATGAGAAGAAGATAAAATAATATGGAAAAGTTGAACTCAAATATTGTTATAAAATATAGTTTATACAGCATCAGCTAATGTCAATTTTATTTTCTAACGAAATACTTGCTTCGAGCAATTTGACCATTTTCCTCATTTTATCTTCTTTTCTTCTTTATTCCCATTTTCAGGTCAATTGATTCTGCAGCTTTTTGGTGAGTAAAGTACAACATTTATGGAGAAGATGAAAAAAATAGAAAAGGATAAATGAAAGAAAAACAAAGTCCAATATGTTTCCAGTAAAGAAAAATATTGCGTTCAGAATTTATTCCGTCAATATAATTGTTCAGCCTTCTTCAATCAATGAGAAACATCTTGCTCATGGATGGTTGAAACAATATTCAATCAAAATCTTCGTCAGTCAAATGTGATTGTTTCAAAAAGAAAAATCAACTTTCAAGAAAAAAAAAACAAAATCTTTCAATTTACTCGACAAATCAATTTCCAATCGCAAAGACTTTAGTCCAAAAGTTTCATTCTAAAAAATCGAAAAATCAAAATTTGCAAAATTTCGAAGAACAGCAAATTTGAGAAAAAAAATTATTCTTGAAATTAAGCAAATCGACTGTTAAATTGACCAAAAAATTGAGATGAAATTGAGTTAATCCAAGTTGATGAATTTATCTAATCAAGTTTTGCTCAATTTTATTTGGAAATTGCGAGAAATGAAAATTCGAAAAGAAATGAAAGATTTAAAATAAATTGAAATACACTTTATCATGGTTTTGTTTCATGGTAAACCACATGAGGTCTTATACATGTGATTCATTTTAACCATTACAGTTCGAACAGATGAAACAGAAAGCGCAAAGAGAACAAGCAAAATATGTTGAATTTTTTCTCTTCTTCTCTCCATTCCTTATTTATACATTTACTTATTTTTCGCGAAAAGGCAAAGCAGAATGCTGGTGAATCAGAAGTAAAATGATTATAACATTTTTTTTCCTTTTCTCAAACATGAATACCATAACATGATATTGTTGCATAAAATGGTTTTAGTTTGTATCTTTTGTTGCTCCAATGGAAAATGATCAGTAATGAGAAAACGAAAAAAGAATGGGAAAAGAAGAGGAAAAGTTGAATAACATAATTCATGTTTATTTTGCATTTTCAAATTACATCTTTTTTCACATTGGTTAATGCTAATAATGAACTCAATAATGTTTAGTTTTTCCAAGCTAATGGTTAATGTAACCTTTCATCAGCATATTATCTTCATCAAAACAAATGACTAACCTAATGTTGGCTCATTGACTTGAGTAAACATTTTATCGATAACAATCAACTTCAACTAAATCAATCCTTTAACCCAAAGCAATTTACATTCATTAAAGGGAATGAAACTTTTTTTTGTGAGAAAAAAGTAAAAATTTCAAATTCAAATTCAAACTTTGGTGGAATCAAAGAGATAAACTCACCTCCTTCAGCTTCACAGTAGAGCGTTAAATGAGCACCTTCGTTGTAAGGCCCAACAAGATCACGTAGTCGCTGACCAAATTCATCCATTATTATCACTTCTCGTGGTCCAACTGATGAAGAGAGAAAAGCAATTATCGATTTTATTGGAGAAAAAAAGTTTAAATGGAAAAAAAGTAAAGAAAAAAACAGATGAAGTTCATTTGATTAATGACAAAACAAAAGCACTGAGCCGTTTGAAAAGTTTCGAGAAAAAAAACCATCAACAGAACAAAGGTAATCACAAGTTTCCATCTAGAATAATATCAATATCATGAGAAATGATGGGAAAAATTGAAATGAAAGATTATACTATTATGATCGAAAGGCAGAAAAGTCTAAACAGTAAACTCTTTTGCGAATTTCATTTTCGAAGAAAAAAATTCTTTTCGATTTGAGCAGAAACTGGAAAACATTTTGAACGATTTTTGGTGTTAATGATTATCTCAAGTTTTTCGTGCTTTTTTTGTCTCTGGTAAATGAAACTCTTGAAGCGTTTGAGAAAAAAATGAAATGTTTTTTTCGATGATTTTGAATTCCAATGCAAATTGAGATTCGAGCAAATTGCTTAGTGATTCAGTGTTGAGCTTGATTAGATTGATTCAATCAGGTAATCGATTCATTCCAATCACTTTGTATTCAGTACTTTTCGATGTTGATCTATTTCAATGGACATTTTATTCAATTATTTTCAGCTCTTTTCCTTGTTCGAGTTAATGAATTTTCTTTGGTAAAGACTTTTGTTCTTGGTCAAGTTTTCATTCATTTTGATAACCAGTTGAGCTACTCATGTAAGTGTTTCAATGAAAGAGTGGAAAAGGGTGAAAATTTTCCCTTGAGCTGAAAATGGAATCAAATATATAAACAGAAGAGAACCGGAACTTTCATTCAAACTGAATCCAAGTGAAATGAGCTTTTCTTGGCTTCTTTTTTTGTTTTATCTATTATTTACTCAAAGATATAAGAAAACAATTTCAACAGTAAATACAGGTTTACTTGAGCAACTAGAGTTTCTTGGACCACACAGTTTTACCATGCAAAGAAAAGAATCTTATTTCAGGATAGAAAATCATGTTGAAGGAAACCGGAAGAAAAGTGAAAATGTAACAGCAAAAAGAAAAGAGGAAAAACAATGTTGAAGAAATGAGAATATGAAGGTTAATAGGAAGAAGAAGAGGGAAGAAAAAAAAGTAACGAAAGAATGGAAATGAAGAGGCAAAGAAAAAAGAAAGAAATGGAAATGGTTAGAGACAGGGAATTGGAACAGAAGAATAATAAAAATGTTCAAGTTTCACAGTTGCACCGTGTTACACTTGATTATGCGAGAGACTGAAAAAGAATCCCAAAAGGACAAGAGTAAAGTTATTGAGGAAAGAAATGATAGACTTGGTAGACACCTTTTATCAAGATTATGTGAATATGAATGGGCAACCGCAAGATGAATAATGATGAAGGAAACCTGGTTAAAAGTTGTACAACAACGAGGACAGCAAAAGGCTAGACTAGATAAATAATGTTCAAGATTGTTAATCAAACAGTTTGATGGGTTGAAGGCAAATAGACTTTGATAATACCTTTAATGATGTAAATCTTGGTCTTTGATGGGTAAACGTTTGATAAGAAAAAAACGAACACAAAAAAAAGTCCTAAACATTATTATGGTTATTATTGTTGTTATCATTACAATAAATATGAGAAAGCAACAGACAACTTGTCAATAACTGTCACTGGGAAGCGTTATTGTCATGCATGGTTTAGGGTTGATCAAAAGGCAAGAGGAAAATGTCAACTCTCGAATGTATTATTTTGAGAGATGAAAACGTAATAAACACTAGTCTTTGTTGCTGTCTTTACATGAGATCAGATTGTTTGACTTTTGGCTTAAACATGGAATCATGAGGACAATTGTGAGACTTCAAGAGGTTGGACACTTTGCTCATTACTTGGTAATCTGTTGAGATGAAATTATCGGTAAAGAAGATTGCAATTTTCAAGATTCTCTGTAAAGTTTGTTGCAACAATTTTCTTCGTTGGTTTCGTTCAACATGGATTGAAATCTATAATGTAAAATATACATTTTATGTGACCAGAATTGAAATTCAATTTGATTAAATTAATCTTTTCTTTCGTTTCTTCAATTGGAATCGAAATTTTTTTTCTTTCTCTCTTCTTCAAGGAATAAACATGATAACAAAATTATGAGAAGACTAACAAGAGAATTACCATGAAAATTTAGCTCAATATTACTTCTTTAATCAAATGAGGATAAACTGATTAAGGTGAATGAGGAAAGTTTAAAAATTGGATAAAAAAGAGATCAGCTTTTCCAAGGATTCTGTGGAATTACTGAAGTTCAACTTACTTATTACTTCCAATTGGACTGTTCGATATTGTGTTCGAGCCTGGCGAAAGTCGATTCGGCAGCGATATTCACCAGCATCGTCTTGTTTAACTGATTCAATCACTAAGGAAGGTGGTCTGTTGGGTTAAGAGAAAAAGGCAAAGATTAGTTTACTTGGATTAAAAGACATTTGGGTTTTCAATCAAAGAGACTCAAATTTCAACCTCAAGTGGACCAGAAACTGATTTCATCTTGACTGGTTAAATTGCAAAGGAAATGTTGAATTATCAGAGAATTTCCGTTTTCTCTCTAATCACAAATCATCATTTAATCAACTTCCTTTATTGATATTGAATGACATTGAAGCAACTTTGAGCCTTTATCTTTCAATTATTTAAAAGGATTACAGATTTCACTCTTTGATACGTTGCCTAGCAAAGTATAAAAAAACTCAACATTAAAACTCACAAAGCGAAATGCATAAAATGATGAAACTAAAATGTTTTATATTTTTGGTGAAAAGAAGTGAAAAAAAAGATATTTTAATGCACAAACTCACAATTATTCAACTAGCATTAACTTATCAAAAGTTGATTAATCACATTTTCATTTCAATTTAATCAGAATTGCAACTTTTGCTCTGAAAAAAAAGAAGTAAAAATTATTCCACTTTTCGAGCAAAAAGGAAATACAAAAAATTTCGAAATTTTCCATTCCAAACTTTTGAATCGAATCAAAAGTATCCAACAAAAACAGAAAACATTTTAGTCCATTTTAAGTCGCTCATTTTGCCTTAAGGCCTTCATCAAGTAGAGAATATGGAAACTGATTTTTCCAGAATCGAGATTGAATCGTTGAAATGGTTTAATTGATTTTAACCTTTGGCTGTTCATCAAACATCAACAGCTTTGAGATGTTTGGCCAAGAGAAATGAATGAAAAATCGGAAACTTTTGTTTTCTTTCTCATGTGTTGCCTTCCAACACATTTCAAATCCAATTTATCAATTTATTTATTCTGGCTTGTTCAACCTACGTTCATGGTGTTACCAGAGTCAAATCATTTACAACTATTTATTAACGTCTCGATTATATCATTATTCATTGATAGTTTGCTTGCCAGTTTTGCTGTTTACTTTGATTAGAAACATGAACCTAAAACAGTCTCTTGAGCCTTTTGACGCAAATAATGATAAAACAGATAATTTCTGTTGAAATTAAGCTCTTGTTTCACAAGTTATCCTATTCAGCCTTTTTTTTCATTCCCTGTTCTTCATTGCAAAAGAAACTTTCAATACTTTTCAATGTAACATCAAATCTCATGATAAATCCAATTTTGTTCCCTTTACTTTCAACTTTTCATAATTCATCAGATAAATTGATGCAACAATAATTATTTTAATATATATAAAGTCAAAGCATCAAATTTTTGCGTCAAGATTGTGGTCGAACTGAGCGGATTCTAAGAAAAAAAATTACACACAAAGCTCAGCAAACAGGGAAAACTGACATCGAATATCAATTTATGTGTTTTTATAAATCCATTTCTCGATCGATCCATTTGTATAGAGACTGGGGGAAAAAATGTAGAATCCGTATTCAATAACATTGAGAAAGGGGGGAAAACTTTTTGTTATTTAGGTTGATGGTTGATTGTTGGACCAGGATTTTATGTAAAACTTTGTCATTTGAGTAAAGAGGAAAGAGGGGACCGACTTTTTTCACCAGTTTTTTACCGTCTTTTCACCGTATTGTCCGCCATATTGTCCACCACTCAATCCAACACAAGAAAAGTTTCTTTAAAAAGTGATGTTGTTTGATTTAGTTGATTTGGTAGATGTGTTGGATTGTGCGGTGGACAATACCGTGAAAAGACGGTTAGCATGGGTGGTTAAAAGAAATTTACGATCAGCCATGATCGTGTCTCAGCTTGTTTTAATAAAGCAAAGTAACAATGGGGAAAAAAGAAGACTATTATTTGAAACTTTTTAATCCCAATTTGATTCCAAGAGAATAGCAAACAATGCTCAGCAAACAAGGAAAACTGACATCGAATATCAATTTATGTGTTTTTATAAATCCATTTCTCGTTCGACTCATTTGTATCTACGATTTCAACTTGAAATCACTAAATGGAATTGGACGATTATAAAGACATAATCCATTCATTTTTCTTTTCAGCTTTTTGCTCTGGAATTTCATTCTTGATATGATTTTAACGATGGAAAAATCTCAATGAAATCGATGAAAAACACAAAATTTTCATTCAACTTGGTTATTCTCGCGAGTCATAAATTGTATTTGAAGTTGCTTTAGTTTTAAGCAAATGAATCGATGGTCTTCATTCAGACCTTTACAAAGTATCCATTTACCATCGGCTGCTTTTGTTTGTTTTTTACGTTTTTTGTTTTCTTTTTTAGTTTTTAGTTCTCACCTTGTTCAAGTCAGAGTGCATCAACAAATGTCTAGAGAATAACAAGTTTCCAAGGGAGATAAAGTTGATTCAGAAAAAGTTTTCTTGGAAAAACAGAGGAAAGATCATCATCACATCACTGATGGTGTTGATGTTAAAAAGTAAAAGTTTTGGTTGCAAAAAATAGCTGAATCTGGTGACATTGATGATGAAAATGATGATAATGATAACGATGACTGGGAAGAGAGAAAAAAGGTTGAAAACTTTGGACAAGTTAATGGTCAAGATTGATGTTCAAGTGTTTCGATGATACAGAACCAAACCCTATTCATTCGTCTCACCAGACTCTTCATCACTTTTACTGCTTACTTTTTTCTGCTTCATCCGTTGTTTTATCTCAGAACTTTTTTTTAGTTACTTCTTCCTTACACCAAGAATTACTCCCAATATCATCTAACACTGGGCATAAGAGAGCAACTTACTAATGTTGCAGCTCATCTTGATCAAGACCTTCAACCGAATAAACTAAAACAAAGACTTAAGCAAAAAAAAGGATGAAACTATGCTCAACTGGCCTTTGTTAATGCACAGAGGTTCAACCCTTCAGGTTAGCTCAAAGAAGACTTTCTTACTACAGATCACGAAGAGCATCAATCACTTTTTTGCAGCAAAAAAACATCAACATTTTTTCATTCCGAGTCTGATTACTTGCCAAAAGATAACGTAACTCTTGACGCTGACCTTTGCTCTCCGTGAAATGCACATTGTTCAGCGAAACATATTTTCTGTTGCGCTCAGTTACCATGCACTTACCGAATATAAATTGAAAACTGAGTGCTGATTCAATCTCTTATAAGCTAGACTTCAATAACGAATGCATTGAACTCAGCTTTCCAACTGACCTAGACTGGTTCCATGTCAATCTGATGATATCTTTACCTCAAACTCAAAGTTCATCAATTGAAATTATCTCAATGTTTAAGTGAGGTTTTGCAATTACTAAGTTTGCTCATGAAACTATTGAACCATGAAGCATTGATCGTGTTTTCCGTTAATAAATATCATATAATTGTTGTGATTGAAGCGTCAACCATTTGATTATTGAAAACTCATCATTAATCATCATATACCATTAAGGTAAAGCAAACTGAAATCCATTGGAAATTAATGATGATGGCAACAAGATTCGACACAACCTAATACTTTAATGTGATTAAAATTTATCCAAACTTTATCAGGTGAATAAACTTCAAGGTGAAATTGGGTTGAAATTGTCTTGCAATTTATTGCACTAATATTGAAAAATAATCAACTTACAAAGAGGAAAAATGTCATGAAAGTGGCAATACCTGATTTCCGGCAAGAAAATGTTTTTCTGAAAAAATAAGGAAAAAGGCTGACGAAAAGTTTGTGAAAATAAAACTGAAAACACTTTTTTTGTCTCTTTTCGCTTCCCAAAGTTTCCATAAAAGTTGAGAAAAGGAAGAAAAAGGTTTCACAAAGAATGATGGGAATGATGATCAGGAAAAGGAGAGTAAATGAAAGAGCAAAGTCGTTGAAAGTAAATCTTCAACTGTAATGGTCTCAACTAGGAAATGTAACTACAAAATATATTATGATTATAATAGAAGCGAAAAAGTGTGTGGATAAAGAATCAAAAGACTAATATGATGATGGTAAAGACGAAAATCCAAGCTGGTACAAGAAACGAAAATGATGGTAAAAATGAAAATGAAACGATTTCTAAAGAGGCAAGATTAACTCACCAAGATATCATGAGAATGATAACGGAAACAAAATAGAGACACTTCAATGAAATGTCTTTAGTAAACATCCGAATGTGAACAATTTATCAGTTCAACTTTCATCTTCAACATTCTTGTCTTTTACCTTTTACTCTTCACCTTTTTTTCAAGTCTTTCAACAATCCTCAAAGGTATCATATGGAATGGTTTATTTTCACGATTATTACTATCATTAGTAAAAGCAATATCATTTGTTTGCCTATCAAGGTAAATCTGTAAATCTGATGAGTGAAGATAAATAATTAACGAAACTCATCTAACCATGATGAGTGTTCGGCTTGAAACAAGATGAAATGTTGCCATTAACAGAATAACGATAATTGTCGCTATTAATAAACTGAACAGTAAAAATGAAAACGAAAATTATGAAAAGAAAAAAATGTTTTTTCGATTTTCTGGCTTTTGCCTTGAGCATCTTCGCACCTCATGAGATTTGCTCTTTACGATGCGAAATTCAAGGCTAACTACTTGGAGTAAAGTCAATGGATTATCCAGTGTTCGTGACTGAACTTTTTGCTCGAAATTCTGTTTGTAAGTCCGTGTAAGTTCGATGGTGAAAATTCTGCGTTGAAAGTTGATTCGAAGCAGAAGAACTTTTGGTTGTGGAGAAATGAAACAATTAAAGTTAATTGATTTGGACCAATTGTTTAAATCTATAATTGATTTTGGTTTTCCTTCTGATAAACCAATTCCAATGTTTAATTATAAAACATTAAAATAGTTTTCACTGTTTCTCATGAGAATTGATGAGCGAGTTTCTCTTGTTTTTTTTGTTCAGCTCTGCTTTTCACTCATGATAATGTAATTGAGTAATAACTGTTCATGAGTATTTTTAGGCTGAATGTTGAACAATTATCGTTGAACCACATAATTAAACGGAAAGCAAAGAAGAAGCTAAAAGTTAATGAAAGAGTTTAGTTT